TAGCTGCAGGTTAGCGTGGAGCTGGACTCAGGTGAGAGGAGTTAGCATAGCTGCAGGTTAGCATTGAGCTGGACTCAGGTGAGAGAGGTTAGCATAGCTGCAGGTTAGCATTGAGCTGGACTCAGGTGAGAGGAGTTAGCATAGCTGCAGGTTAGCATTGAGCTGGACTCAGGTGAGAGGAGTTAGCATAGCTGCAGGTTAGCATTGAGCTGGACTCAGGTGAGAGGAGTTAGCATAGCTGCAGGTTAGCATTGAGCTGGACTCAGGTGAGAGAGGTTAGCATAGCTGCAGGTTAGCATTGAGCTGGACTCAGGTGAGAGGAGTTAGCATAGCTGCAGGTTAGCATTGAGCTGGACTCAGGTGAGAGGAGTTAGCATAGCTGCAGGTTAGCATTGAGCTGGACTCAGGTGAGAGGAGTTAGCATAGCTGCAGGTTAGCATTGAGCTGGACTCAGGTGAGAGAGGTTAGCATAGCTGCAGGTTAGCATTGAGCTGGACTCAGGTGAGAGGAGTTAGCATAGCTGCAGGTTAGCATTGAGCTGGACTCAGGTGAGAGGAGTTAGCATAGCTGCAGGTTAGCATTGAGCTGGACTCAGGTGAGAGGAGTTAGCATAGCTGCAGGTTAGCATCGAGCTGGACTCAGGTGAGAGGAGTTAGCATAGCTGCAGGTTAGCATTGAGCTGGACTCAGGTGAGAGGAGTTAGCATAGCTGCAGGTTAGCATCGAGCTGGACTCAGGTGAGAGGAGTTAGCATAGCTGCAGGTTAGCATCGAGCTGGACTCAGGTGAGAGGAGTTAGCATAGCTGCAGGTTAGCATTGAGCTGGACTCAGGTGAGAGGAGTTAGCATAGCTGCAGGTTAGCATCGAGCTGGACTCAGGTGAGAGGAGTTAGCATAGCTGCAGGTTAGCATCGAGCTGGACTCAGGTGAGAGGAGTTAGCATAGCTGCAGGTTAGCATTGAGCTGGACTCAGGTGAGAGGAGTTAGCATAGCTGCAGGTTAGCATCGAGCTGGACTCAGGTGAGAGGAGTTAGCATAGCTGCAGGTTAGCATTGAGCTGGACTCAGGTGAGAGGAGTTAGCATAGCTGCAGGTTAGCATCGAGCTGGACTCAGGTGAGAGGAGTTAGCATAGCTGCAGGTTAGCATCGAGCTGGACTCAGGTGAGAGGAGTTAGCATAGCTGCAGGTTAGCATTGAGCTGGACTCAGGTGAGAGGAGTTAGCATAGCTGCAGGTTAGCATTGAGCTGGACTCAGGTGAGAGGAGTTAGCATAGCTGCAGGTTAGCATTGAGCTGGACTCAGGTGAGAGGAGTTAGCATAGCTGCAGGTTAGCATTGAGCTGGACTCAGGTGAGAGGAGTTAGCATAGCTGCAGGTTAGCATTGAGCTGGACTCAGGTGAGAGGAGTTAGCTACTCCCCTGAATCACACTATAACACAATTAAGTAAAAACATTAGTTACAGATACTGTTATTTCCCACTACACATGTAAATAAGTAAAATACTGGTGATTGTGGGTCTGTCGTGTTCTAACTCTGATAAATATCATTTCAAAACTACTTCCAATGAATGAAACTGACATTATGGTTTTTATGCATTTTTTATCTAATAGCTACAGATTATGAATGCTGATAAAATGGCTGTATTTATTAATGCACGTTGTAACTATGCATTTAAAAGTATCTGAAAGTTTGTCGTTTGTGCAGCTGTGGAGGAGCTGAAGCTGAAGGACTCTCTGTACACGCTGGAACACATGCAGGCCTTTGGCATGTTTAACTACCTGCATTTAGACCCCTGGTACTCGGACAGCGTAGTGTTTGTGGACGCTAAAGGACAAGTGCTCAGTCTCACTGTGACTCTGGTAAGACTGTGGGTTACTATGGTTACTATGGTTACACCTGTTTGTTTTCTACGTTATGTTGAGACTTTCAGCGGTCCGTGGCCATACTTGCATGTTGAAAGCCAGAACAAAAGTTACGACTGTAACTACGGTTCTATGAATCCTGGATGACCGCCAGAGGCGGTGCTTTAAGCACTGAATGATCATCTTTGAGCATGCGCAGTTCGAGAATTAAAGCTGCACTAACTGACTTTGGGATTTTGAAGCCGTGGACTCGCTGGCCTCTCTCTTTCTGCTCCCCTCCCCGCACCCACGAAGCTATCGCCCCCCTCACACACTCACTGTTGGGACGGAGCTAGTGTCTCTCAATATGGATAATACTTGGATATGGATTTGCACGTGGATGGCGTGACCATAGAACGATAGAACCGGGAAGCGCGGAGGAACGAGACTTTCTTTTGGATGGCTGTCTCGCTGTGTAAGCAGTAACCGGTGACGAAGACACACGAAGCTTCAGGTTAGCTCCTCGGCTTGTTGTGCTAACTCAGCCGTCTATGCTAACGGACCTGTAGATTTCTTACGAAAGTGGGGGCTAGTGGTCCGTTGTGATTGGTCACAATCTGCGACCCGAAACACATTCTCTTCCTTGTTTCATCAAAACTCGTTCTAAAATATAATGTCACGCCAGCACAAATCTGCGCTACTTTTTCTTCAAAAGGACGTTTATCCCAATGCACTACATGGACATGGATAGACTTTTAGTAATTAATACAAAAATAAAGTCAGTTAGTGCAGCTTTAAATGACAACAAAGTCACTTGTGACCTCCTCGTGACCCCCGTGAGTCTATATAGGTCACGTGACACGAGAGCTCAGCCCCTTTTCACCTCGCAAGCAGACCGTGGCCTTGAGGGACTGGACGCTCTGGCGGTCATCCAGGTTTCATAGAACCGTAGTTACAGTCGTAACTTTCGTTCTATTTCATCCTTCCTGACCGCCAGAGGCGGTGCTTTAAGCACTGGATGACAAATACCAACAAGGTCCCGAGGGGTCAACGAGAGGTACACACCCACCTCATAACGTCGAATGGTGCCGCAGCACCCCCTCCAGCGGACCAGGGACCGCCACATTGACCCTGTAGTACGTCGCGAAGGTAGACTGCGACGTCCAGGAGGCGGCCGCACAGACTGCGCTCATAGCAGCCCAGGAGGCAGAGACGCCCCTGGTCGAATGACCCCTCACCCCAGCAGGCAGCTGGCGCCCATGGGAGAGGTAGCACTGCCTGATCACCTCGACAACCCACTTGGAGAGGCGCTGGGACGACAGAGCCTGGCCCTTCCTGGGGCCGGCATAGCACACGAAGAGGCAATCCGACCCCCGCACACTGGCTGTGGCAGTTCGGTAAACCTCCAATGCCCTGACAGGACAAAGCGGTTCTACAGAGGCTCCAGTACCAAACCGGGCCAACCTAAGTGGAAGGACCGCACCAGTGAACACCTTTGGGCGGAAGGAAGCATCCGGCCAAAGCGTAACCCCCAGACCATTGGGATCCCATCTGCAGCAGGACACGTGAAACGACAGAGCCTGCAGTTCACTCACACGCTTACCCGAGGCTATAGCCAGAAGAAAAGCGGTCTTAAGGGAGACCCACTTCAGGTCCACACAATCCAGGGGCTCAAACGGGGGAGCCCGCAACGCCTCCAGAACCAACGTCAGGTCCCAGGGCGGAACCATGGGCCGTCGCGGGGGATGAAGACGCCGAGCACCCTTCAGGAACAGGGAAATATCCCCGTTACTCCCCACCGTAGAACCGGCCACACCCTCATGAAAACAAGATATTGCCGCCACATATACCTTGAGTGTAGAGGGAGAGCGCCCCCGGTCCATGAGATCCTAGAGGAACTGCAGAATGGCAGGCACCGGGAGTGGAAGGCGCCCTGGCATTGGAGATGGTGTGGGCGACCCCTCACCATACCTCGGGACAATTGCACTGGACCCCTCAGTGGCCACACCCAGAGCTGAAGCCGCTCGGGACTGGGGTGCAGGAGCCTTCCCCCCAGCTGGGACAGGAGATCCCGCCGTCGGGGCAGCGGTCTCGGAGAGCCGCAGCAGAGCCTGTGCAGTAACGGAAACCAGATCCGGCCCGGCCAGAACGGAGCTACCAGGAGAAGGTTGTGCCCCTCCTGGAGAACTCTCAGGAGGGTCTGGAAAATCAGTGGCAGAGGGGGGAAAGCGTAGAGCAGAGTACTGGGCCAATCGTGCGCCAGCGCATCCAGGCCCAGAGGGCAAGCCACGTCCGTCAGGGAAAACCACAGCGGGCAGTGGGTCGACGCCTCCGACGCATACAGGTCCACCTCGGCCCGGCCAAACATAGTCCAAATGCTGGCCACCACCTCCGGGTGGAGACGCCACTCCCCGGGCTGGGGGCATTGGCGGGACAGAAGGTCCGCCACCACATTGGGCACCCCCGGATTGTAGGAGGCCCTCAAGCTTGCCAAGCGAGGGGCTGCCCACAGCAGTAGCTCCCGGGTCAACCGCGACAGCGTCACGGACCGGGTACCCCCCAGGTGGTTGACGTGATGCACCACCGTGGTGTTGTCGGACCTCACCATGACACGCCGGCCACGCAGTCGTGGGAGGAATTGCGCGAGAGCAAGGCGGACCGCCATGAGCTCACATGCAGCAGGCGGACCTCTGGAGACCCAGTCCCCTGTGCCATCCTGCCCTGCCACGTCGCCCCCCAACCAGTGAGGGACGCATCGGTGATGCCATCGGTGATGCCACCACCACCTCCCTCCGAGACGGAAGAGAGCCCAGTGGGACACCTCTCTCGATCCAAGACCTGTCCCGCCAACAGGATAGGGACTCTAGGCACTGCGGCGAGAGCAGGAGTCTGCGTCGCCTGTGAATGAAGCGTGACGGATCTAAACGCAAGCTGTTCAGCCACATCTGCATGGGACGAAGGGAGAGAAGGCCCAACGGAACAACGGCAGAGGCCGCCGTCAACTTCCCCAAGAGGCTGAGGTACAGCAGGAACGGCAACGCCCGACCCCGCTGAAATCTGTGGAGCATGTCCACAATGCCATTGACCCGCAGAGCCGACGGACGGGCGGTCATGGCAACCGAATCTAGGTACACCCCCAAGAAAGTCGTTGTCTGAGCCGGAACCAAATTGCTCTTGGCAACATTGACCCGCAGACCCAAACGCCCAACGTGGTCGAGGACAGTCTGAGTGTCCCGAACGGCCTGGGCACGACTGGAGGCGCACACGAGCCAGTCGTCCAGATAAGGCAGGACCCTCAACCCCCCCTGCCTGAAGAGGGGCCAAGGCCGCCGCAACGACCCGGGAAAAGACCCTGGGGGACAGGGACAGCCCGAAGGGGTGCACCCGAAATTGATAATGCCGCCCCTGGAAAGCAAAACGCAGAAACCGCTGGTGATGCGGGGCAATCGGCACGTGAAAATAAGCATCCTTCAGGTCGACGGATGTGAACCAATCACCCGGAGATATTGCCTGCAACAGCTCCGGGGTCCTCAACATCCGAAACGATAGCGTCTTGAGGAACACATTGAGGCCCTGAAGGTCCAAAACCTGACGCAAGTCGCCAGTTTTCTTCGGAACTAGAAAATAAATCGAATAAAAGCCCCCTGGGTCCAGCAGGGGGTCCACAGGCACTATAGCCTCCTTGTCCAGCAAGGTGGCGATCTCTACGGACAGTGCCAGTGTCCTGGCCCGGTCGTGGATCACAGTCCACCTGACGGGGCCAGGGACCGCAGGCCGACGGTGGAACTGGAGAGTGTACCCCCGGGAGAGCGTGCCCAACACCCAGAGGTCTGAGGTGTGAGCGGTCCAGTAGTCCAACTGCTCCCGGGTAAAAGAACCCACCGTCAGCGGCCTGACCTCATCTCCGAGCCCCCCGTGGCCTGGAGACCCCGGGGGGGCGCCCGAGAGCCCGTGCGTTCTGGGGAGGCCGCCGGGTAGAAGGCCGAAATCCCCTATGGTCAGGCGGAGGGACACCTGGTGGCCGCGAACCCCTAGGAAAGGTCAGTGGAACACCATACACCCGCAGCAGGAGGGGCAACCCGTGGAGAGGCCCGCCGGTGCAGCCCAACCAGCTGGTCACGCGTCCTGGTGGCCTGCGCCGTGCTCTCCAGCGCCTGAAGCGCAGCCGCACCAAAGAGCTCCCCCGGAAGCACCGGAACACTCTGGAGAGTCCTCATACAGGGCTCAGTGAGGGGTGACTGAGTCAGGGTCGACAGCAGGCGGCCCAGTTCCCGCGACATAAGGGCAAAAGCGTGGAGGGACGCATCCAACAGTCCCTGGGTCGGGGCATCGACTGTAGAAACCTCCAATGCGTTCGAAAGGCCCAGTAACAAATGGGAAAGAGTTCCCCATGCGCCCCATTCGCGCCCCAGTATCGTACGCCCAACACAGCAGCTCATCTGTGAGGCGACACTGGGGGTTAGGGCACCTCGGATCAGACCGGAGGGCCTCCTCCGGCAAAACAATCAAGGAGGCCACCGCCGGCTCGACGGGCGGCATGTGGCCCAAGCCAAATTGGGGGGCATCCTGCATTGAAGCCAAAGCCCGGCCATCGGACGTCAGTCTGGACATAGCCTTTGTATCCGTCCAGCATGCATGTAACTCCTTCACGTACTCCATCGAAGGAGGCACAGAGACAGAGGGAAGGGGCCGCTGTCGCTTAAAGAAGGCGCTACCAGACGGCACAGTTCCCTGCGGGACATCAAGCCCCAAGTGGGCGAGTGCAGAGCGGACGGCAGAGGAAGCCCCACTCTCCTCTCCGTCCAGGCACCCCGTGGACGCCAAGGAACCAGCGTCAGAGGCCCTGGAATCAACCTCCTCAGGGTCAAGTCGAAAATGAGTGTCAGATGCAGCCACAGACATCACATCGTCCTCCCACAACGGGGCCAGGTCCGGCACAGGAGGGCCCAGCACATGTTCCCCTGAAACCGGGCGAACATCCTGCAGAAGTGCCTTCATTTGGGCCATCTCGGACGCAAGGTGGTCCATCCGTGCAGACAACCCTGCAGGCACCCTACGCTTCCTCTGCGGAGCCGAGGAAGCAGTGGACACAGCCGCACGCTTAGACCCAGAGGGCTGGGCAGCAGGCGGCAGGCAGGGCGGCACCTCCGAAGAGCCCTCATCCGGATCCAGGGCCGCCAGGCTCTCCACGCGTACAGAGAGTGGCAGTACCGCACAATTGGAGCAGGCGTCCACCGTCAGGCCCTGTCTCAAATGCCCGATACCCAGGCATGCAGGGCAGAGGTCATGGCCATCCTCGCGGGGCCTCTTCCATCTACACCTGCGGACTGCCCCGCCCGACCCGCCTGGGAGTGCTTCAGTCCTGCACCAGACCTGTCCACGTTCAGCGTCCACTGGTCCACGTTCTGTAGCTAGCTTAGGTCCTGGATCATTAGTCTGTCCGTCCGGAGGAGCGGATCCCTTTCTCATATGGGTCTCCCTCCCTGTGGGTTTCCCTAGTTCTCCTCCAAGGTTTCTCACTTTTTCCCACTGGGTTTTTTAAGAGTTTTTCCTTGTCGATGCAGGAGGGTCTTGTTGGACAGTTAGTGTCCAACAGAAAGGATTGGTGATGATCAGGACACTTTAGCATTCTACAACATGTATGGACATTTTCTTCTGTGTGTGCTTTATACTGTATTCTTCATGTGTTTTAACTGTTGATTCTCTGACCTGTGTTGGTGATTTCAATGGTTTTGTTAAGTCCTCTGAGATGACTTCTGTTGTGACCTAGGGCTATACAAGAATAAATTGTATTGTATTGTATTGTATCGGTGCCATGTACCCACGGCAGCCCAGCGACTCGTGCATAACGAGCGCGCCTGAGCTGGTGGAGCAATGTAAGCAGAGTCGGGTCGAGCTGAAAACGCCACAGACGACTCAAGCACACAGAGAAAACCAAACAACCGAACAGAGGGCGAACAGTCTAACTGTTGGTAAAGAAAAACAAATGTCAGCATAAACTGAAAACAGAAGAGCTAACAAAAGTGTACAAACACCCAACGTCGGCCAAGTAAAGAGCCAGGTGTGGCAGAGGACACCACCCACGGCTCCCCAAACAGAGCAAAAGTAACACACTGAACAGAGGACGAACAGTATAACTGATGATAGATGAAACAAAACGCTAGTACACACTGAAAACAGGAGACTAGACGAAAATGTACACACAAACACAACGTGGTCGGGGCAGGGAACGCCACACACACGACTCATTTAACACCGGCCAAACAGAGCATAAACACAAACTGAACAGAAAACGAACAGTATAACTGTGGACATCAAACGTCAGCTCACTCCGAAAACGGAAAGCTTAAACTAAGAATCACACGCACACACATGGACAGAACTCACCGGTGAGCCGGCGGAGCTTGCACAGCCCCTGAGGGGCGAGATCCACCCGCTGCCTCGACGCGAGTCACGGAGCTGATGTGCAAGCAGGACGTATGTGGTAGGTAGGTAGCTCAAACGCTCAAACACACACGCACAACTCAAACCTGCGCTGCGAGAAGAAGAAAAGAGGCTGGGCTCTCGTGTCACGTGACCTATATAGACTCACGGGGGTCACGAGGAGGTCACAAGTGACTTTGTTGTCATTTAATTCTCGAACTGCGCATGCTCAAAGATGATCATTCAGTGCTTAAAGCACTGCCTCTGGCGGTCAGGAAGGATGAAATAGAACCTGTCATACCTCTGGAGCTAAGCAGGGCAGGGCCTGGCTAGTACTGTGATGGGAGACCTCTAAACAGTAGGTTCCACAGTGGGGTGGCTGTAAAGTGCCAAACTGTGGTTGTGTCCTTAGGCAAGACACTTCCCCCACATTAGAATGAGTCTGGTGTGTGTGTGAATGGTTGGTGTTGGTGGGAGGGGCTTCTGTCAGTGTGCCCCAGGGCAGCTGTGACTGCACTAGTAGTTTATCACCACCGTGTTTGTAGAGAAAGAATAATGATGTGAAGAGACTTTGAGAGTCTGAAAAGAACTGTATAAAACCAATGCATTATTATTATTATTACTATTATTATTATTATTACTATTATTATTATTACTATAATTATTATTATTACTATTATATTATTATTGTTATTGTTATTATTTCTATATTATTATTATTATTCTCCATTTCAAAATTAGAAAATAAAATGACAGTTTGATAAGTGAATTTTGTTTAAGCCCAAACAACTGTGAAAGTTATTGTAAGACACACTTTATTGATCTCAATGAAGACATTTATGAATTGGACATTATGTTGAATCCGTGGAGCTTAGTGAAGGCTGTTGTCATGTGAGATCAATAAAGTGTATAAAGTACATGTATGTCAGATCAGTAAAGTATATGAAGTACATGTATGTCAGATCAGTAAAGTATATGAAGTACATGTGTGTGAGATCAGTAAAGTATATGAAGTACATGTATGTCAGATCAGTAAAGTATATGAAGTACATGTATGTCAGATCAGTAAAGTATATGAAGTACATGTATGTCAGATCAGTAAAGTATATGAAGTACATGTATGTCAGATCAGTAAGGACTGACTGTTTTCAAACAGAATAATGTTGCACGTGTGAAACATCTAAAGGTTTCTTTGTTGTGGTGTATTGTTCAAACGGAACAGAACATGCCGGAATCTAAAAGATCTGATCAAATCTCAAACACTGAGTCTGCTACAAAACAAACACACCTTTGTCTTCAGACGGAGGATGACATTGTTATGATCTGACCTGTTCTTAAGAAACCGTCTGAGAGGTGCTGTTGTTTCTTTGAAGAATACATTCGTTTCTGAGATCTGTGTTTCACCTCGAGAGGAGCAAACGCCCGGCTCCTGTGACGTCTGTGACCGGTCCCACGGAGACGTCTGTGACCGGTCCCACGGAGACGTCTGTGACCGGTCCCACGGAGACGTCTGTGACCGGTCCCACGGAGACGTCTGTGACCGGTCCCACGGAGACGTCTGTGACCGTTCCCACGGAGACGTCTGTGACCGTTCCCACGGAGACGTCTGTGACCGTTCCCACGGAGACGTCTGTGACCACCGTTCCCACTGAGACGTCCGTGACCGTTCCCACGGAGACGTCCGTGACCGTTCCCACGGAGACGTCGGTGACCGTTCCCACGGAGACGTCGGTGACCGTTCCCACGGAGACGTCGGTGACCGTTCCCACGGAGACGTCGGTGACCGTTCCCACGGAGACGTCCGTGACCGTTCCCACGGAGACGTCCGTGACCGTTCCCACGGAGACGTCCGTGACCGTTCCCACGGAGACGTCCGTGACCGTTCCCACGGAGACGTCTCTGACCGTTCCCACGGAGACGTCCGTGACCGTTCCCACGGAGACGTCTCTGACCGTTCCCACGGAGACGTCTCTGACCGTTCCCACGGAGACGTCTGTGACCGGTCCCACAGGGACGTCTGTGACCGTTCCCACAGTTCCCACGGAGACGTCTGTGACCGGTCCCACGGAGACGTCTGTGACCGGTCCCACGGAGACGTCTGTGACCGTTCCCACGGAGACGTCTGTGACCGTTCCCACGGAGACGTCCGTGACCGTTCCCACGGAGACGTCCGTGACCACCGTTCCCACGGAGACGTTCGTGACCACCGTTCCCACGGAGACGTCCGTGACCACCGTTCCCACGGAGACGTCCGTGACCACCGTTCCCACGGAGACGTCCGTGACCACCGTTCCCACGGAGACGTCCGTGACCACCGTTCCCACGGAGACGTCCGTGACCGGTCCCACAGTTCCCACGGAGACGTCTGTGACCGGTCCCACAGTTCCCACGGAGACGTCTGTGACCGGTCCCACAGTTCCCACGGAGACGTCTGTGACCGGTCCCACAGTTCCCACGGAGACGTCTGTGACCGGTCCCACAGTTCCCACGGAGACGTCTGTGACCGGTCCCACAGTTCCCACGGAGACGTCTGTGACCGGTCCCACGGAGACGTCTGTGACCGTTCCCACGGAGATGTCCGTGACCGTTCCCACGGAGACGTCCGTGACCGTTCCCGTGGAGACGTCCGTGACCGTTCCCACGGAGACGTCCGTGACCGTTCCCACGGAGACGTCCGTGACCGTTCCCACGGAGACGTCCGTGACCGTTCCCACGGAGACGTCCGTGACCGTTCCAACGGCGACGTCTGTGACCGGTCCCACAGTTCCCACGGCGACGTCTGTGACCGGTCCCACAGTTCCCACGGAGACGTCTGTGACCGGTCCCACAGTTCCCACGGAGACGTCTGTGACCGGTCCCACGGAGACGTCTGTGACCGGTCCCACGGAGACGTCCGTGACCGTTCCCACGGAGACGTCCGTGACCCATCCGTGACCGTTCCCACGGAGACGTCCGTGACCCATCCGTGACCGTTCCCACGGAGACGTCCGTGACCGCCGTTCCCACGGAGACGTCCGTGACCGCCGTTCCCACGGAGACGTAAGTAAGTAGTAGTCGTAAGTAAGTATTTATTTATATACCGCCTTTTCACTGCAGATCTGAGTCTCAAAGCGGTTTACAATTGTTAATTTTTGGGCATTTGTCTCTCACTCCACACAGAGATGGGAGCGCGGTCGCCATCACAGGAGGCGCATGCTAGAACTATTGGACATATTTTTAGTGGTAGGGGAAACCGGAGTACCCGGAGGAAACCTACGCAGACACGGGGAGAACATGCAAACTCCACTCAGAAAGGCCCTGGTCCGACCGGGATTCGAACCCAGGACCTTCTTGCTGAGAGGCGAGAGTGCTATCCACTCAGCCACCGTGCCGTCCGTGACCGCCGTTCCCACGGAGACGTCCGTGACCGCCGTTCCCACGGAGACGTCCGTGACCGCCGTTCCCACGGAGACGTCCGTGAGCGCCGTTCCCACGGAGACGTCCGTGAGCGCCGTTCCCACGGAGACGTCCGTGACCGCCGTTCCCACGGAGACGTCCGTGACCGCCGTTCCCACGGAGACGTCCGTGACCGTTCCCACGGAGACGTCCGTGACCGTTCCCACGGAGACGTCCGTGACCGGTCCCACGGAGACGTCCGTGACCGTTCCCACGGAGACGTCCGTGACCGTTCCCACGGAGACGTCCGTGACCGCCGTTCCCACGGAGACGTCTGTGACCGCCGTGACCACCGTTCCCACGGAGACGTCCGTGACCACCGTTCCCACGGAGACGTCCGTGACCACCGTTCCCACGGAGACGTCCGTGACCACCGTTCCCACGGAGACGTCCGTGACCGTTCCCACGGAGACGTCCGTGACCGTTCCCACGGAGACGTCCGTGACCGTTCCCACGGAGACGTCTGTGACCGTTCCCACGGAGACGTCTGTGACCGTTCCCACGGAGACGTCTGTGACCGGTCCCACAGTTCCCACGGAGACGTCTGTGACCGGTCCCACAATTCCCACGGAGACGTCTGTGACCGGTCCCACAGTTCCCACGGAGACGTCTGTGACCGGTACCACGGAGACGTCCGTGACCGTTCCCACGGAGACGTCCGTGACCGTTCCCACGGCGACGTCCGTTCCCACGGCGACTTCCGTGACCGTTCCCACGGCGACGTCCGTGACCGTTCCCACGGAGACGTCTGTGACCGGTCCCACAGTTCCCACGGAGACGTCTGTGACCGGTCCCACAGTTCCCACGGAGACGTCTGTGACCGGTCCCACAGTTCCCACGGAGACGTCTGTGACCGGTCCCACAGTTCCCACGGAGACGTCTGTGACCGGTCCCACAGTTCCCACGGAGACGTCTGTGACCGGTCCCACAGTTCCCACGGAGACGTCTGTGACCGGTCCCACAGTTCCCACGGAGACGTCTGTGACCGGTCCCACAGTTCCCACGGCGACGTCCGTGACCGTTCCCACAGTTCCCACGGAGACGTCTGTGACCGGTCCCACAGTTCCCACGGAGACGTCTGTGACCGGTCCCACAGTTCCCACGGAGACGTCTGTGACCGGTCCCACAGTTCCCACGGAGACGTCTGTGACCGGTCCCACAGTTCCCACGGAGACGTCTGTGACCGGTCCCACGGAGACGTCTGTGACCGTTCCCACGGAGACGTCCGTGACCGTTCCCACGGAGACGTCCGTGACCGTTCTCACGGAGACGTCCGTGACCGTTCTCACGGAGACGTCCGTGACCGTTCCCACGGAGACGTCCGTGACCGTTCCCACGGAGACGTCCGTGACCGTTCCCACGGAGACGTCCGTGACCGTTCCCACGGAGACGTCCGTGACCCATCCGTGACCGTTCCCACGGAGACGTCCGTGACCCATCCGTGACCGTTTCCCACGGAGACGTCCGTGACCGCCGTTCCCACGGAGACGTCCGTGACCGCCGTTCCCACGGAGACGTCCGTGACCGCCGTAACCACCGTTCCCACGGAGACGTCCGTGACCACCGTTCCCACGGAGACGTCCGTGACCACCGTTCCCACGGAGACGTCCGTGACCACCGTTCCCACGGAGACGTCCGTGACCACCGTTCCCACGGAGACGTCCGTGACCACCGTTCCCACGGAGACGTCTGTGACCGTTCCCACGGAGACGTCTGTGACCGTTCCCACGGAGACGTCTGTGACTGTGACCGTTCCCACGGAGACGTCTGTGACCGGTCCCACAGTTCCCACGGAGACGTCTGTGACCGGTCCCACAGTTCCCACGGAGACGTCTGTGACCGGTCCCACAGTTCCCACGGAGACGTCTGTGACCGGTCCCACAGTTCCCACGGAGACGTCTGAACGTCTGTGACCGGTCCCACAGTTCCCACGGAGACGTCTGTGACCGGTCCCACAGTTCCCACGGAGACGTTTGTGACCGGTCCCACGGAGACGTCTGTGACCGTTCCCACGAAGACGTCCGTGACCGTTCCCACGGAGACGTCCGTGACCGTTCCCACGGAGACGTCCGTGACCGTTCCCACGGAGACGTCCGTGACCGTTCCCACGGAGACGTCCGTGACCCATCCGTGACCGTTCCCACGGAGACGTCCGTGACCGTTCCCACGGAGACGTCCGTGACCGCCGTTCCCACGGAGACGTCCGTGACCGCCGTTCCCACGGAGACGTCCGTGACCGCCGTTCCCACGGAGGCGTCCGTGACCGCCGTTCCCACGGAGGCGTCCGTGACCGCCGTTCCCACGGAGACGTCCGTGACCGTTCCCACGGAGACGTCCGTGACCGTTCCCACGGAGACGTCCGTGACCGTTCCCACGGAGACGTCCGTGACCGCCGTGACCACCGTTCCCACGGAGACGTCGGTGACCACCGTTCCCACGGAGACGTCCGTGACCACCGTTCCCACGGAGACGTCCGTGACCACCGTTCCCACGGAGACGTGGTCCCACAGGGACGTCTGTGACCGGTCCCACAGTTCCCACAGGGACGTCTGTGACGTTCCCACAACTTTTGCTCACGACTTTTGCTCTGGAGCAACTTATGTGTGAAATAATAACACTTTGTGTTTTGAATTATATAAATTATATATTATAAATGATTTAATATATCAAATAATAGCCCAGGCAAATAAATTAAAGACTATGCTTTTTTTCTTCTTTATCATGAATTTTTAGCAATTTATACTTTGGAGTTATTTTTGATCTGAAAACCACGGTATGTCTGTGGTATGTTCCACCACATGGAGCATTTGTCAGTGATTTAATTTGTTTTTGGTGTAATTCACTCACTCTTTGTTCTGAAGAAGAAGAAAGCGACTCGACTGTGTGTCTCGAGGATCTGCCTCAGTTTTATCTGTGACTCTTCAGAACCTCAGGGACCATGAACTGATCGAGAAACATATTATTCCCTTGATCGTCACTGTGCCCCAGGGCAGCTGTGGCGGCGGGCCTACACCACTGTGTATGGAGTGAGAGAATAATGCTGAGAAGCGTCTCCGTGTCTTAAATCTATAAAAACATTAAAACCATTATAACATGTCACTGTGTCCTTCCCTGACTCGCCAGTAGGTGGCGACCAAAGACTTCCACTTCAGTCTGTCACTCTGAGTGTTCTCCAGGAAACGGTTTCATTCTGTGTTAAAGCTCTTCCTTATATTTAATTCCTTTTCACATTAATTCAGAGCATTGTGCCACAGCAGAGCGTGTAAAACAAAGCTCAGATGTTCCAGTTAAATCCACACGAACACACGCAGCACGAGGAGCTAAATGAGCAGAGTGACCTTTGCAGCACAGGCGTCTTTTCTGTGAAGATGATTGTCCTAATTACAGCTGCAGTGTTTAGTCAGAGGCAGGAGGACGACCACAGAATCACAGCTTTTTGTCAGATAAAAAGTTTCAGTCCTTTATACGAGTGGTGTTAATGATCCCCTGTAAAGATATGTGTTGATTACAATCATCACACCATAATTACCCTCCTCTGGAGCTTTGTGTGGTCTCCTTTGGAGCTTTGTGGGGCCTCCTCTGGAGCTTTGTGTGGCCTCCTCTGGAGCTTTGTGTGGCCTCCTCTGGAGCTTTGTGGGGCCTCCTCTGGAGCTTTGTGGGGCCTCCTCTGGAGCTTTGTGTGGCCTCCTCTGGAGATTTGTGTGGCCTCCTCTGGAGCTTTGTGGGGCCTCCTCTGGAGCTTTGTGTGGCCTCCTCTGGAGCTTTGTGGGGCCTCCTCTGGAGCTTTGTGGGGCCTCCTCTGGAGCTTTGTGGGGCCTCCTCCGGTGGAGCTGTGTGTGGCCTCCTCTGGTGGAGCTTTGTGTGGCCTCCTCTGGTGGAGCTTTGTGTGGCCTCCTGGTCCCCTGCAGCTTGTCCTTAACAAAGTGAAAGTGTCAGATGTGTCGTTACTTTAACAAAGTGAAAGTGTCAGATGTGTCGTTACTTTAACAAAGTGAAAGTGTCAGATGTGTTGTTACTTTAACAAAGTGAAAGTGTCAGATGTGTCGTTACTTTAACAAAGTGGAAACCACCGCAGAAACCTTTTCCTCTTTTTCCATCTTTGTCTCAAAGATAAAACTGATTGGAAAGTTTGGAGCCAGATTATTATAATAATAATAATGAGATCAACAGTTTAATCTTCTGAAGTCGTTACATAAAGATGTGTAAAAACCTTTGTCTTCACACGTTTGAAACATGTCGCTGTAATTCCTCATTCTCCCTGGAGCGAAATGGAAACGTTAGTTTTATTCACATTTATATTAGATTTTACAAACCAACTTTTGAATCCTTTCTATGTTTTACATTGTTCGCTCATCAACATCAGATGAAGTATGTTGTAGTTCCAGTCTCTTAAGTGTTTAAAAGTACTGCCCATAGATCAGCTCCTCTGGTGGCAGATCAGGGAGGTACACACAGAATGAACATAATCTCTTCAGATTTGATTTCACATTTTCAATTATGGAAGACACAGAAAAGTGAGTCAGAATACAACGTGACCATCGGACCATTGTCCTCTCTCTACACGTATGTGTCCGAACGTTCAACAGCAGCTCGAAGGAGTCGCTGTGCAGCTGCTGAATCATGAAGAAAATAAGAGTTCTTAGAGTTTCATGTTGGAAAACAAACTCTTACTATTAGATCCTCTTTTTAGGCCTTTAAACACTGTTGTTCCTGGTTCCTATGAGTCTCAGTCTGATCCCTGCAATGGTTTGGTCTCATATGGTTTGGTCTCATATGGTTTGGTCTCATATGGTTTGGTCTTGTGTTCCAGGACACAGCGCTGGGGAAGCCTCGGGAGGTGTTCCACTTGGACCCAGACTCTGGAGGGTGTGAGAGTCGCCTCTGTGCCTCCCTGAGCCTCACCTCCTCCACCTGGGCCGCTCTGTCGGACGGGACGGGCCGCCTCCTCCTGCTGCGCACGGGCCAGAGGGGGGCCGCCTCACACCAGTGGGAGGTCAGTGGGAGGGGCCGCCTCACACCAGTGGGAGGTCAGTGGGAGGGGCCGCCTCACACCAGTGGGAGGTCAGTGGGAGGGGTCGCCTCACACCAGTGGGAGGTCAGTGGGAGGGGTCGCCTCACACCAGTGGGAGGTCAGTGGGAGGGGTCGCCTCACACCAGTGGGATGTCAGTGGGAGGGGTCGCCTCACACCGGTGGGATGTCAGTGGGAGGGGTCGCCTCACACCAGTGGGATGTCAGTGGGAGGGGTCGCCTCACACCAGTGGGATGTCAGTGGGAGGGGTCGCCTCACACCAGTGGGAGGTCAGTGGGAGGGGCCGCCTCACACCAGTGGGAGGGGTCCACTGTAGGGTTGGGGTGAAAGGTTTTACGGCTCTGCGCGGTGTGAACATGTCGTTATACAGCTCTGGACTTTCATAATAAACAGAAATGTTGTGTAGTTAAACTAGTTTGAGTTCAGAGAGCTGTGAAAAGTGTTTGATGAATAGTTATGATTCTTTTATGGTGTGAACTGGAGATGAACGACATGGACTAAGTTTTAATTCTTCAGATATCTGGAGCAAAAGAGATTTTATATCAATCCTTTCTGGAAGATTCAAATAATTTATAGCTGAAATATACACTAAAGCTATTGTTCATGTGTCGTGTGCTCCTCAGTCCTACTGCTCTGTAAGCTGTGATGCAACACTGACATTTCCCCGCTGTGGCATCTCTTAGTCTTTATAAGATCAGATATTCTTTTATTGGTCCCACACTGTCATCGTTGCACTTTACAGCAGAAAGAAGGAATCAGGACTCAGACGCACACATCAGAGTCTGTCATTTAGGATAATAGACAATTTAATTAAAATAAGATGAAAAGATGGGAAAATAGAATAAAATAAACGTGTTTGATTTTATCCATCTCAGTCTGAGTGTGAAGGGAAATCAGGTAAATGGGCATAAAGATATCGGAAATGGCACAGCCAGTAGTTTTTCAGTTTATCATCAATCATAGAGAATAGTAAAGTGGAACTAAAATGGACTAAATGTTTTTGTTTTAAATAAACTAAATCCCTTTGAATTGAAAGGAGATATTATGTGTGAGGTTGGTGGATCACAGACATGAGCTCGAGGCTGTGTTGTCATGGTGATGGTGGGAAGCTGCAGAAGGACGAAACGGGAAAACTACCAGAACAACAATTATCTGTGCATATATGTAGTGTGTACTGCAGGGGTCTGTATATGTGTAGTGTGTACTGCAGGGGTCTGTGTATGTGTAGTGTGTACTGCAGGGGTCTGTGTACTGCAGGGGTCTGTGTATATATGTAGTGTGTACTGCAGGGGTCTGTGTATATATGTAGTGTGTACTGCAGGGGTCTGTGTATATATGTAGTGTGTACTGCAGGGGTCTGTGTATATATGTAGTGTGTACTGCAGGGGTCTGTGTATATATGTAGTGTGTACTGCAGGGGTCTGTGTACTGCAGGGGTCTGTGTATATATGTAGTGTGTACTGCAGGGGTCTGTGTACTGCAGGGGTCTGTGTACTGCAGGGGTCTGTGTGGGTCCTTAGTATCACAGCTGCTCTGACCTGAGCTACACATTTGAGCTTCTTTGAGTTTCTCTGAGTCAAATAATTGCAAACGGTAAAAAAGCCCAAATGTCCATTTAAACAGAATATTCTGTTGGTCAGTAAACGTTGTTCTGCCCCGGTCGGACTCGACATAAACCCGGTGCAGGTCTGCCCTGGTCGGACTCGACATAAACCCGGTGCAGGTCTGCCCTGGTCGGACTCGACATAAACCCGGTGCAGGTCTGCCCTGGTCGGACTCGACATAAACCCGGTGCAGGTCTGCCCTGGTCGGACTCGACATAAACCCGGTGCAGGTCTGCCCTGGTCGGACTCGACATAAACCCGGTGCAGGTCTGCCCTGGTCGGACTCGACATAAACCCGGTGCAGGTCTGCCCTGGTCGGACTCGACATAAACCCGGTGCAGGTCTGCGCTGAAGGATAAAAGAGAGTCATTGGTGAGTTTTATTGTTGCAGATGATGTTTTGAAGAACAGCATCTGTGTCTGAGTCACTAAAGACGACGTATGAGCAGTGATTAAAACAGACGTGAAAAGAGGAGGTTTTAAATGTGACATTTACTTTCATTTCTGGATTCAGGACTTTACATGAGAATAAAGAGCTGCTGCTGTATCTGTAGTAACTGTAACTGCTGTAGTAACTGTAACTGCTGTAGTAACTAACTGCTGTAGTAACTGTAACTGCTGTAGTAACTGTAACTGCTGTAGTAACTGTAACTGCTGTAGAAACTGCTGTAGAAACTGCTGTAGTAACTGTAACTGCTGTAGTAACTGTAACTGCTGTAGTAACTAACTGCTGTAGTAACTAACTGCTGTAATAACTAACTGCTGTAATAACTGTAACTGCTGTAGTAACTGTAACTGCTGTAGTAACTGTAACTGCTGTAGTAACTGTAACTGCTGTAGTAACTAACTGCTGTAGTAACTGTAACTGCTGTAGTAACTAACTGCTGTAGTAACTGTAACTGCTGTAGTAACTAACTGCTGTAGTAACTGTAACTGCTGTAGTAACTGTAACTGCTGTAGTAACTAACTGCTGTAGTAACTGTAACTGCTGTAGTAACTGTAACTGCTGTAGTAACTAACTGCTGTAGTAACTAACTGCTGTAGTAACTGTAACTGCTGTAGTAACTAACTGCTGTAGTAACTAACTGCTGTAGTAACTGTAACTGCTGTAGTAACTAACTGCTGTAGTAACTAACTGCTGTAGTAACTAACTGCTGTAGTAACTAACTGCTGTAATAACTGTAACTGCTGTAGTAACTGTAACTGCTGTAGTAACTGTAACTGCTGTAGTAACTGTAACTGCTGTAGTAACTGTAACTGCTGTAGTAACTAACTGCTGTAATAACTGTAACTGCTGTAGTAACTGTAACTGCTGTAGTAACTGTAACTGCTGTAGTAACTAACTGCTGTAGTAACTGTAACTGCTGTAGTAACTAACTGCTGTAGTAACTGTAACTGCTGTAGTAACTAACTGCTGTAGTAACTGTAACTGCTGTAGTAACTGTAACTGCTGTAGTAACACTAACTGCTGTAGTAACACTAACTGCTGTAGTAACACTAACTGCCGTAGTAACTAACTGCTGTAGTAACTGTAACTGCTGTAGTAACTGTAACTGCTGTAGTAACTGTAACTGCTGTAGTAACTAACTGCTGTAGTAACTGTAACTGCTGTAGTAACTAACTGCTGTAGTAACTAACTGCTGTAGTAACTAACTGCTGTAGTAACTAACTGCTGTAGTAACTAACTGCTGTAGTAACTAACTGCTGTAATAACTGTAACTGCTGTAGTAACTGTAACTGCTGTAGTAACTGTAACTGCTGTAGAAACTAACTGCTGTAGTAACTGTAACTGCTGTAGTAACTAACTGCTGTAGTAACTGTAACTGCTGTAGTAACTAACTGCTGTAATAACTGCTGTAGTAACTGTAACTGCTGTAGTAACTGTAACTGCTGTAATAACTGTAACTGCTGTAGTAACTAACTGCTGTAGTAACTAACTGCTGTAGTAACTAACTGCTGTAGTAACTGTAACTGCTGTAGTAACTGTAACTGCTGTAGAAACTGCTGTAGAAACTGCTGTAGTAACTGCTGTAGAAACTAACTGCTGTAGTAACTGCTGTAGTAACTGCTGTAGTAACTGCTGTAGTAACTGCTGTAGTAACTGCTGTAGTAACTGCTGTAGTAACTGCTGTAGTAACTGCTGTAGTAACTGCTGTAGTAACTGCTGTAGTAACTGCTGTAGAAACTAACTGCTGTAGTAACTGTAACTGCTGTAGTAACTGTAACTGCTGTAGAAACTAACTGCTGTAGAAACTGTAACTGCTGTAGAAACTGTAACTGCTGTAGAAACTAACTGCTGTAGTAACACTAACTGCTGTAGTAACTAACTGCTGTAGTAACTGTAACTGCTGTAGTAACTGTAACTGCTGTAGTAACTGTAACTGCTGTAGAAACTGCTGTAGTAACTGTAACTGCTGTAGAAACTGCTGTAGAAACTGCTGTAGTAACTGTAACTGCTGTAGTAACTGTAACTGCTGTAGAAACTGCTGTAGTAACTGTAACTGCTGTAGAAACTGCTGTAGTAACTGTAACTGCTGTAGAAACTGCTGTAGAAACTGCTGTAGTAACTGCTGTAGTAACTAACTGCTGTAGAAACTAACTGCTGTAGTAACTAACTGCTGTAGTAACTAACTGCTGTAGTAACTGTAACTGCTGTAGTAACTGTAACTGCTGTAGAAACTAACTGCTGTAGAAACTGTAACTGCTGTAGAAACTGTAACTGCTGTAGAAACTGTAACTGCTGTAGAAACTGCTGTAGTAACACTAACTGCTGTAGTAACTGTAACTGCTGTAGTAACTGTAACTGCTGTAGTAACTGTAACTGCTGTAGTAATCTAACTGCTGTAGTAACTGTAACTGCTGTAGTAACTGCTGTAATAACTGTAACTGCTGTAGTAACTGTAACTGCTGTAGTAACTGTAACTGCTGTAGTAACTGTAACTGCTGTAGTAACTGTAACTGCTGTAGAAACTAACTGCTGTAGTAACTGTAACTGCTGTAGTAACTAACTGCTGTAGTAACTGTAACTGCTGTAGTAACTAACTGCTGTAATAACTGTAACTGCTGTAGTAACTGTAACTGCTGTAGTAACTGTAACTGCTGTAGAAACTAACTGCTGTAGAAACTGTAACTGCTGTAGAAACTGTAACTGCTGTAGAAACTGTAACTGCTGTAGTAACTAACTGCTGTAGTAACTGCTGTAGTAACACTAACTGCTGTAGTAACTGTAACTGCTGTAGTACTGTAACTGCTGTAGTAACTGTAACTGCTGTAGTAACTGTAACTGCTGTAGTAACTGTAACTGCTGTAGTAACTGTAACTGCTGTAGAAACTAACTGCTGTAGAAACTGTAACTGCTGTAGAAACTGTAACTGCTGTAGTAACTAACTGCTGTAGTAACTGCTGTAGTAACACTAACTGCTGTAGTAACTGTAACTGCTGTAGTAACTGTAACTGCTGTAGTAACTGTAACTGCTGTAGTAACTAACTGCTGTAGTAACTGCTGTAATAACTGTAACTGCTGTAGTAACTGTAACTGCTGTAGTAACTGTAACTGCTGTAGTAACTGTAACTGCTGTAGTAACTGTAACTGCTGTAGTAACTGTAACTGCTGTAGAAACTAACTGCTGTAGTAACTGTAACTGCTGTAGTAACTGCTGTAGTAACACTAACTGCTGTAGTAACTGTAACTGCTGTAGTAACTGTAACTGCTGTAGTAACTAACTGCTGTAGTAACTGTAACTGCTGTAGTAACTGTAACTGCTGTAGTAACTGTAACTGCTGTAGTAACTGTAACTGCTGTAGTAACTGCTGTAGTAACACTAACTGCTGTAGTAACTAACTGCTGTAGTAACTAACTGCTGTAGTAACTAACTGCTGTAGTAACTAACTGCTGTAGTAACTAACTGCTGTAGTAACTGTAACTGCTGTAGTAACTAACTGCTGTAGTAACTAACTGCTGTAGTAACTGTAACTGCTGTAGTAACTGTAACTGCTGTAGTAACTAACTGCTGTAGTAACTAACTGCTGTAGTAACTGCTGTAGTAACTAACTGCTGTAGTAACTAACTGCTGTAGTAACTGCTGTAGTAACTAACTGCTGTAGTAACTGTAACTGCTGTAGTAACTGCTGTAGTAACTGTAACTGCTGTAGTAACTGTAACTGCTGTAGTAACTGTAACTGCTGTAGTAACTGCTGTAGTAACTAACTGCTGTAGTAACTTCTGTAGTAACTGTAACTGCTGTAGTAACTGCTGTAGTAACTAACTGCTGTAGTAACTGTAACTGCTGTAGTAACTGTAACTGCTGTAGTAACTGTAACTGCTGTAGTAACTGTAACTGCTGTAGTAACTGCTGTAGTAACTAACTGCTGTAGTAACTGCTGTAGTAACTGTAACTGCTGTAGTAACTAACTGCTGTAGTAACTGTAACTGCTGTAGTAACTAACTGCTGTAGTAACTAACTGCTGTAGTAACTGTAACTGCTGTAGTAACTGTAACTGCTGTAGTAACTGTAACTGCTGTAGTAACTAACTGCTGTAGTAACTGTAACTGCTGTAGTAACTGTAACTGCTGTAGTAACTGTAACTGCTGTAGAAACTGCTGTAGAAACTGCTGTAGTAACTGCTGTAGAAACTAACTGCTGTAGAAACTAACTGCTGTAGTAACTAACTGCTGTAATAACTGCTGTAATAACTAACTGCTGTAGTAACTGTAACTGCTGTAGTAACTGTAACTGCTGTAGAAACTAACTGCTGTAGAAACTGTAACTGCTGTAGAAACTGTAACTGCTGTAGAAACTGTAACTGCTGTAGTAACTAACTGCTGTAGTAACTGCTGTAGTAACACTAACTGCTGTAGTAACTGTAACTGCTGTAGTACTGTAACTGCTGTAGTAACTGTAACTGCTGTAGTAACTGTAACTGCTGTAGAAACTAACTGCTGTAGTAACTAACTGCTGTAGTAACTGCTGTAATAACTGTAACTGCTGTAGTAACTGTAACTGCTGTAGAAACTGTAACTGCTGTAGTAACTGTAACTGCTGTAGTAACTAACTGCTGTAGTAACTGCTGTAGTAACACTAACTGCTGTAGTAACTGCTGTAGAAACTAACTGCTGTAGTAACTAACTGCTGTAGTAACTGCGGTAATAACTGTAACTGCTGTAGTAACTGTAACTGCTGTAGTAACTGTAACTGCTGTAGTAACTGTAACTGCTGTAGAAACTAACTGCTGTAGTAACTGTAACTGCTGTAGTAACTGCTGTAGTAACACTAACTGCTGTAGTAACTGTAACTGCTGTAATAACTGTAACTGCTGTAATAACTGTAACTGCTGTAGTAACTGTAACTGCTGTTGTAACTGTAACTGCTGTAGAAACTAACTGCTGTAGAAACTGTAACTGCTGTAGTAACTAACTGCTGTAGTAACTGCTGTAGTAACACTAACTGCTGTAGTAACTGTAACTGCTGTAGTAACTGTAACTGCTGTAGAAACTAACTGCTGTAGAAACTAACTGCTGTAGTAACTAACTGCTGTAGTAACTGCTGTAATAACTGTAACTGCTGTAGTAACTAACTGCTGTAGTAACTGCTGTAGTAACACTAACTGCTGTAGTAACACTAACTGCTGTAGTAACTAACTGATGTAGTAACTAACTGCTGTAGTAACTAACTGCTGTAGTAACTAACTGCTGTAGTAACTAACTGCTGTAGTAACTAACTGCTGTAGTAACTAACTGCTGTAGTAACTAACTGCTGTAGTAACTGTAACTGCTGTAGTAACTGTAACTGCTGTAGTAACTGTAACTGCTGTAGTAACTAACTGCTGTAGTAACTGCTGTAGTAACTAACTGCTGTAGTAACTGTAACTGCTGTAGTAACTGCTGTAGTAACTAACTGCTGTAGTAACTGTAACTGCTGTAGTAACTGCTGTAGTAACTGTAACTGCTGTAGTAACTAACTGCTGTAGTAACTGTAACTGCTGTAGTAACTGTAACTGCTGTAGTAACTGCTGTAGTAACTGTAACTGCTGTAGTAACTTCTGTAGTAACTGTAACTGCTGTAGTAACTAACTGCTGTAGTAACTGTAACTGCTGTAGTAACTAACTGCTGTAGTAACTGTAACTGCTGTAGTAATTGTAACTGCTGTAGTAACTGTAACTGCTGTAGTAACTGTAACTGCTGTAGTAACTGTAACTGCTGTAGTAACTGTAACTGCTGTAGTAACTGTAACTGCTGTAGTAACTGCTGTAGTAACTAACTGCTGTAGTAACTGCTGTAGTAACTGTAACTGCTGTAGTAACTAACTGCTGTAGTAACTAACTGCTGTAGTAACTGTAACTGCTGTAGTAACTAACTGCTGTAGTAACTGTAACTGCTGTAGTAACTGCTGTAGTAACTAACTGCTGTAGTAACTAACTGCTGTAGTAACTGTAACTGCTGTAGTAACTAACTGCTGTAGTAACTGTAACTGCTGTAGTAACTGCTGTAGTAACTAACTGCTGTAGTAACTGCTGTAGTAACTGTAACTGCTGTAGTAACTGTAACTGCTGTAGTAACTGTAACTGCTGTAGTAACTGTAACTGCTGTAGTAACTAACTGCTGTAGTAACTGTAACTGCTGTAGTAACTGCTGTAGTAACTAACTGCTGTAGTAACTGCTGTAGTAACTAACTGCTGTAGTAACTGTAACTGCTGTAGTAACTGTAACTGCTGTAGTAACTGTAACTGCTGTAGTAACTAACTGCTGTAGTAACTAACTGCTGTAGTAACTGTAACTGCTGTAGTAACTAACTGCTGTAGTAACTGCTGTAGTAACTGTCTGCTGTAACTGCTGTAACCTCTGTATCTGTAGTAACTGCTGTAACTTCTGTATCTGTAGTAACTTCTGTATCTGTAGTAACTTCTGTATCTGTAGTAACTTCTGTATCTGTAGTAACTTCTGTATCTGCTGTAACAGAATAAAACACAGCCAGAGGAGTTTTCATCAGAGATTTAAAGTAGTACTAGAGTTTAATATGCTGCTATCCAGAATATATAACTACAATATGTGTTTATAATATTTCGGGTTCATTTTGACATGTTCAGATGAATTATGTTAAAAAAACGGCTTTGTGAGATTCAAGCTAATTAGTGTTGGGCAAGTTAGCTAACTCTACTTGATATCATAAAACATGCTAACAAGGCTAATATTCGTTTTTACATTATGCCAGTCTCACTTTGCCTTAGATTAATTTACCACAATGTACATTGTAATATCCATAAATGCTAATCAAAATAACTTGAATTAAATAAATAATTTACTTTTATGAACAAAAAGCTGCAGAAGTTGAAAACAGAGATAAAAATGCTAATTAAACCGTTAATAGGTGTTAGCATTTATGGATATTACAATGTACATTGTGGTAAATAAATCTAAGGCAAAGTGAGACTGGCATAATGTAAAAACGAATACTTGTGAAAAGGTGCCACTTCAAAGCCGTTTTTTTTAACGATTCATCTGAACATGTCAAAATGAACACCCAAAATATTATAAACACATATTGTAGTTATATATTCTGGATAGCAGCATATTAAATTCTAGTACTACTTTAAGCATTTTATATAAATGTGTTTTAGTTTCTCTCTCTGTGGTTCTGGTGCAGCCGGGTCTAATAAAACGCTTCTCTTCTGAAAGTTAAGCCTTTATTGGTCCCACAGTGAGGAATTTTAATGTTTCACACATTTAAAATAAAGAAAGATCTATTATTTAGATAAAATACTAAAGTAATAAGATCAGACAAAGAGCCTCTGCAGAAGTGCGTCACATCAGTGTCACATGGACTTGTTCTTTAGCACTTCAATTAGCTTAAATGTTATGTTGCTGAATAATTAGCTCGGCTGCGTTCTGACCAATCAGAAGGCAGCGCTCTGGCCAATCAGAGGGCAGCGCTCTGGCCAATCAAAAGGCAGGGCTCTGGCCAATCAGGGCAGCGCTCTGGCCAATCAGAGGGCAGCGCTCTGGCCAATCAGGGGGCAGCGCTCTGGCCAATCAGGGGGCAGCGCTCTGGCCAATCGGGGGGCACCGCTCTGGCCAATCGGGGGGCACCGCTCTGGCCAATCGGGGGGCACCGCTCTGGCCAATCGGAGGGCAGCGCTCTGGCCAATCAGAGGGCAGCGCTCTGGCCAATCAGAGGGCACCGCTCTGGCCAATCAGAGGGCAGCGCTCCGACCAATCAGATAACAGATATTATTATAGACCCATGGTAATACTATAACAGATATTATTATAGACCCATGGTAATACAATAACAGATATAGTAATACCATGGGTCTATAATAATAACAGATATTGTAGATCCACGGGGTCTCTCTTGTTCTTATGTAGCGGCCCTGCTGGCCTGGCCTACAGATGAGGGCTCCCCCGGTGGTCACTCTCTGCAGCACAGTTCATGAAGAGAATCTATAATGAGGACATGGGAACTCTCTGATGCTGAACTCCAGATCACAGGGACTAACTTTATATCTGACTGCTGCTCGATTCCACTTCCAGCGCTGTTGAGTTTGCATGTTCTCCCTGTGTCTGCGCTGCTTTCCTCTGGGTGACTGCAGAGGTGGTTCAGAGGCACTCTCCTCTTTCTGCTCAGCTGCTCATGTTGAATCTAAACTGCCAAAAACACTTTTCTACATAAAACAAAGTATTTTATAATTCCGCCCTCGCTGTCCTTCTGTATTGTTCTATTGTGTAGAAATATGGGGCGTGCCCACACTAGACACACAACCTATTTTTACTTTACAGAAACCAGCAGATGCTCAGATATTCACCGTTTAAACCGACACTGCTAAAGTACACGTCTGTGAATACGTTTGGACCAGGTGACGTTATCGCTCCAGAGTTTATATTATTATCATTGTAATTATATTGTCTATTATCTGAAATATTAGATGCTTGATGTGTGTCTGAGTCTTATTTCCTTCTTTCTGCTGTAAAGTGCAATAAGGTGCAGTTCATCTGCTGCTAAATGTGACTTATGGTATCGTGCACTTTGTGTCATGGGACTGATGGTAACGTTTCATTGAACTGCATTTTAATGTTATGATTGTGAGGACCACAGACAGACAGCAGTGTTAGGCTTCATAGTCCTCATCTGTTCATAGTCCTTCATGGTTCAGTCTCCATGTAACTGTTCATAGTCCTCATGTAACTGTTCATAGTCCTCATCTAACTGTTTATAGTCCTCATGTAACTGTTCATAGTCCCTCATCTAACTGTTCATAGTCCCTCATGTAACTGTTCATAGTCCTCATCTAACTGTTCATAGTCCCTCATCTAACTGTTCATAGTCCCTCATGTAACTGTTTATAGTCCTCATGTAACTGTTTATAGTCCTCATGTAACTGTTCATAGTCCTCATGTAACTGTTCATAGTCCTCATCTAACTGTTCATAGTCCTCATCTAACTGTTCATAGTCCTCATCTAACTGTTCATAGTCCCTCATGTAACTGTTCATAGTCCCTCATGTAACTGTTCATAGTCCTCATGTAACTGTTCATAGTCCTCATCTAACTGTTCATAGTCCTCATCTGTTCATAGTCCTTCATGGTTCACAGTCTCCATGTAACTGTTCATAGTCCTCATGTAACTGTTCATAGTCCCTCATGTAACTGTTCATAGTCCTCATCTAACTGTTCATAGTCCTCCATAACTGTTCATAGTCCTCATCTAACTGTTCATAGTCCTCCATAACTGTTCATAGTCCTCATGTAACTGTTCATAGTCCTCATCTAACTGTTCATAGTCCCTCATGTAACTGTTCATAGTCCTCATCTAACTGTTCATAGTCCTCATCTAACTGTTCATAGTCCTCATCTAACTGTTCATAGTCCCTCATGTAACTGTTCATAGTCCTCATCTAACTGTTCATAGTCCTCCATAACTGTTCATAGTCCTCATCTAACTGTTCATAGTCCTCCATAACTGTTCATAGTCCTCATCTAACTGTTCATAGTCCTCCATAACTGTTCATAGTCCTCATCTAACTGTTCATAGTCCTCCATAACTGTTCATAGTCCTCATCTAACTGTTCATAGTCCTCCATAACTGTTCATAGTCCTCATGTAACTGTTCATAGTCCTCATCTAACTGTTCATAGTCCCTCATGTAACTGTTCATAGTCCTCATCTAACTGTTCATAGTCCTCATCTAACTGTTCATAGTCCTCATCTAACTGTTCATAGTCCTCATGTAACTGTTCATAGTCCTCATCTAACTGTTCATAGTCCCTCATTAACTGTTCATAGTCCTCATCTAACTGTTCATAGTCCCTCATGTAACTGTTCATAGTCCTCATGTGACTGTTCATAGTCCTCCATAACTGTTCATAGTCCTCATGTGACTGTTCATAGTCCTTCATAACTGTTCTTAAACTAAAGTGTACCATGTGTGTGTCCAGACCATGTTCAGCGAGACCATCGGAGACCCGTTCATCCTCCTCCACAGTGTGTCCCATGTGGAGGCCGGGGTCCACAGCCTCCAGGTCCTGGTCCTGAGGGTCCAGAGAGACCCCGAGGAGACCAAAGGCAGCGGCTTCTATGTGGCTCTGGAGTGGATCACCGTCTCCAACGCGGCTGAGAACGGTGAGCTTTATCTCCACGGTCCGACCACGGTCTGACCACGGTCCCACCACGGTCCCACCACGGTCTGACCACGGTCCCACCACGGTCCCACCACGGTCCCACCACGGTCCCACCACGGTCCCACCACGGTCCCACCGCGGTCCCACCACGGTCCCACCACGGTCCCACCACGGTCCCACCACGATCCCACCACGGTCTGACCACGGTCCCACCACGGTCTGACCACGGCCCCACCACGATCCCACCACGGTCCCACCACGGTCTGACCACGGTCCCACCACGGTCTCACCACGGTCTGACCACGGTCCCACCACGGTCCCACCACGGTCCCACCACGGTCCCACCACGGTCTGACCACGGTCTGACCACGGTCCCACCACGGTCCCACCACGGTCCCACCACGGTCTGACCACGGTCTGACCACGGTCTCACCACGGTCCCACCGCGGTCCCACCACGGTCCCACCACGGTCCCACCACAATCCCACCGCGGTCTCACCACGGTCTGACCACGGTCTGACCACGGTCCCACCGCGGTCCCACCGTGGTCCCACCACGGTTCCACCACGGTCCCACCACGGTCCCACCACGGTCCCACCACGGTCCCACCACGGTCTCACCACGGTCCCACCACCGTCCCACCACGGTCTCACCACGGTCTGACCACGGTCCCACCACGGTCCCACCACGGTCCCACCACGGTCTGACCACGGTCCCACCACGGTCTCACCACGGTCTGACCACGGTCCCACCACGGTCCCACCACGGTCCCACCACGGTCTGACCACGGTCTGACCACGGTCTGACCACGGTCCCACTACGGTCCCACTACGGTCCCACCACGGTCTGACCACGGTCTGACCACGGTCCCACCACGGTCCCACCGCGGTCTCACCACGGTCCCACCGCGGTCTCACCACGGTCCCACCGCGGTCCCACCACGGTCCCACCACGATCCCACCACGGTCTGACCACGGTCCCACCACGGTCCCACCACGGTCCCACCACGGTCCCCACCACGGTCTCACCACGGTCTGACCACGGTCCCACCACGGTCCCACCACGGTCCCACCACGGTCGTACCACGGTCCCACCACGGTCCCACCACGGTCCCACCGCGGTCTCACCACGGTCCCACCGCGGTCCCACCACGGTCCCACCACGATCCCACTACGGTCTGACCACGGTCCCACCACGGTCCCACCACGGTCCCACCACGGTCTCACCACGGTCTGACCACGGTCCCACCACGGTCCCACCACGGTCTCACCACGGTCTGACCACGGTCCCACCACGGTCCCACCACGGTCTCACCACGGTCCCACCACGGTCCCACCGCGGCAGCACAGAGTGGGATCCATGAGAAAGAGTTGTCATGGTGATCCTCCAAACCATCTGAAGAGCGGGAATATTTTTAGCCTGGAAAAGAATCTGAAACTCATGAAGTCTTTCCTGCTCCTTCAAGTCAAACCAAACTCACTTTGTCAATTCCTTCTTCACCGACAAAAAGCAATGTTTTGTATTATTGCATCACAGCAAGAAGGTTATGAGTTTGATTCCTCCTCCAGATGGGGCAGTGTTGAGTTTGCATGTTCTCCCCATGTCTGTGCAGGTTTCCTCCAGGTGCTCCGTCTTCCCCCACCATAAAAACATGTACAATAGAACTGAATGTGTGACGGGATGAGGAGGTTGGAGGCTTTGATGCTCCTGACAGCCCCGTGTGGACAGAAACAGAACTACACCAACTGGAGCACAAACGGCATCACATGCAAACAAGTTACAGTGTTTCCTGAAGGCTTTGATCCCGTCGATTCATCTCTGTTCCTTAGAAGCACCCATAAGCCTAGCGTACATCGACAGAGAAACTGGGGACAACTAGTTGCAAGGCGGCTTTTGGCAACTGAGAGGAGATGATGGAGATGATCAGTTGCCGAAATCGGTCGATGTGCGCGCTCTCACAACTGGAGATGATCAGTCGGTCTCCAGTTCCAGTCAGTTGCCCGTGTTCTACTTTTCGGCAACTAGTTGTCCTCAGTTGCCCCGATGTGCGCGCTCCGTGCGCCGCTCCAACAACGTGTGTGTATTGCGTGTATTGCGAGCCCGCAACAGTTTGTTGTCAGAAAACACACTGTAGTTGAGGCCAGTTGCTGTCGATGTACGCGCTGTTATTCAAGAGACTGGTCTGCGACTCAGAGTTGCCCGTTTTCGCCAGATTGTCGATGTGTGCGGGGCAGCAACTCAGAGGCGACGGATATAATCAGTTGCCAGTCCGATGTACGCTAGGCTTTAGACTTCATCAGTCTTCATCAGTGAGACAGATGTATAGTCTTCATCAGTGAGACAGATGTATGGTCTTCATCAGTGAGACAGATGTATAGTCTTCATCAGTGAGACAGATGTATGGTCTTCATCAGTGAGACAGATGTATAGTCTTCATCAGTGAGACAGATGTATGGTCTTCATCAGTGAGACAGATGCATGGTCTTCATCAGTGAGACAGATGTATGGTCTTCATCAGTGAGACAGATGTATGGTCTTCATCAGTGAGACAGATGTATAGTCTTCATCAGTGAGACAGATGTATGGTCTTCATCAGTGAGACAGATGTATGGTCTTCATCAGTGAGACAGATGTATGGTCTTCATCAGTGAGACAGATGTATAGTCTTCATCAGTGAGACAGATGTATAGTCTTCATCAGTGAGACAGATGTATAGTCTTCATCAGTGAGACAGATGTATAGTCTTCATCAGTGAGACAGATGTATAGTCTTCATCAGTGAGACAGATGTATAGTCTTCATCAGTGAGACAGATGTATGGTCTTCATCAGTGAGACAGATGTATGTCTTCATCAGTGAGACAGATGTATGGTCTTCATCAGTGAGACAGATGTATAGTCTTCATCAGTGAGACAGATGTATGGTCTTCATCAGTGAGACAGATGTATAGTCTTCATCAGTGAGACAGATGCATGGTCTTCATCAGTGAGACAGATGTATGGTCTTCATCAGTGAGACAGATGTATAGTCTTCATCAGTGAGACAGATGCATGGTCTTCATCCGTGAGACAGATGTATAGTCTTCATCAGTGAGACAGATGCATGGTCTTCATCAGTGAGACAGATGTATAGTCTTCATCAGTGAGACAGATGCATGGTCTTCATCAGTGAGACAGATGTATAGTCTTCATCAGTGAGACAGATGTATGGTCTTCATCAGTGAGACAGATGCGTGGTCTTCATCAGTGAGACAGATGTATGGTCTTCATCAGTGAGACAGATGTATGGTCTTCATCAGTGAGACAGATGTATAGTCTTCATCAGTGAGACAGATGTATAGTCTTCATCAGTGAGACAGATGTATGGTCTTCATCAGTGAGACAGATGTATGGTCTTCATCAGTGAGACAGATGTATGGTCTTCATCAGTGAGACAGATGTATGGTCTTCATCAGTGAGACAGATGTATAGTCTTCATCAGTGAGACAGATGTATAGTCTTCATCAGTGATGCCTTTCACTTTGAAGTCTGTTGGGTGCCTCTGAGGTGTTTCCCAGACCTCACATGAAGGAAATGATAGTATCACTTCAGTGAACCTTTAAATGCCAATGTTTTTAATAATTGCTTGTTGTCGATCATCGCTGCGGCAGAAACATCCCATAAACAAAAGTCCATGAACAATTCTATGCTCTATGTATTAATGTGATCATTGATTTATCTTTTCATTTACATTCTCTGATCCTCAAACACTACAAATGTGAAATTAGTCTTTTCAGTTTATCAACTTTCCAATTGCGAGGAAATGGAAAATAATAGTTTGTACTGGAGAGCGCCCAAGCTCCAAGTCACTGTGTTTCATGTCCTCAGAAGGTTTTGGGCTTTTGTTCTGCACATAAACTCCAGCACTGGAATAACATGAGCGTTATTTAAAGTCAGAAGAAGACTCTTGTGTCCCGTGGGATCTGCTGTGATTAGTTTAATTCTGTTTATTCTACGTATTTCCCTAAATCCCAAAACTGTTGGATTCATAAACACAGATCAGAGAATCAACAGAAAACACTTTGGTATTGGTCCAAACGAGGCAGAGACCGATGTCCATAAGTGTTGAATGTGCAGAGTCCAGGACCAGGACATGCAGGTCATTCTATAACGATAACAGCCTCAGGTCACAGCAGCAGTTTTAGTTTGACCTCACAAGACTTGATTCAGTTCAGACGTAGTCCTCAGACCTGCTCCTGCCCCTCTTTTTACAGCTGCAGCAGCTCAGACCAACAGCTCTGATACATCTGCTGTGGTGAGTTCAGGTGGTTAGAAAAGTGCATAAATCTTAAAGATAAAGGTCATTAATATCCTTGTTTGACAACCTCAACACATTTTTCTTGTTATGTGTTACTTTCAGAGTGTAGGACCTGGTGGACTTTATAACCAATCACCACGCAGCGCACAGGCCTCAGCTTTTATTTTGACTTTAAATAAAGAGTCATTTTGTTTTAGCGGTTTTATGGTTTTATGATGTTGCCTCGCTCTACAGAAACACACATCGCACACAGAAAGTACAAAACAAGATTATAGGTTTGGACTCTGTTTATATAAAAGTCTTTACTTTGAACTAAAATAGAATGCATGGAACAAAATGGATTCATGAGGCTTTGTAAGTCATTAAAGGGCCCGCAAGCTCCTCCCACTTTAGTGTAACAAGTTTTAATGAACACAGAATATCCCAGTGTTCATTCATGTGTTCATGTGTTCGTTCATGTGTTCGTTCATGTGTTCATTCATGTGTCCATTCATGTGTTCGTTTATGTGTTCATGTGTTCGTTCATGTGTTCGTTCATTTGTTCATGTGTTTGTTCATGTGTTCATTCATTTGTTCATGTGTTCGTTCATGTGTTCATTCCTTTGTTCATGTGTTCGTTCATGTGTTAATTCATGTGTTCATGTGTTCGTTCATGTGTTCGTTCATTTGTTCATGTGTTTGTTCATGTGTTCATGTGTTCATTCATTTGTTCATGTGTTCGTTCATGTGTTCATTCATTTGTTCATGTGTTCGTTCATGTGTTAATTCATGTGTTCATGTGTTCGTTCATGTGTTCGTTCATTTGTTCATGTGTTCGTTCATGTGTTCATGTGTTCATTCATTTGTTCATGTGTTCGTTCATGTGTTCATTCATTTGTTCATGTGTTCATGTGTTCGTTCATGTGTTTGTTCATTTGTTCATGTGTTCGTTCATGTGTTCATTCATTTGTTCATGTGTTTGTTCATGTGTTCATTCATTTGTTCATGTGTTCATTCATTTGTTCATGTGTTCATGTGTTCGTTCATGTGTTCGTTTATGTGTTTGTTCATGTGTTTGTTCATTTGTTCATGTGTTTGTTCATGTGTTCATTCATGTGTTCATGTGTTCGTTCATGTGTTCAGACGTCTCCTTCTGAGTGTCTGAATGAAGCTGACTCTTGTGTGCAGGAGAGAAGGTGTACGGGCTGCGGCGGCGGCGGGCTCTGCGTGGGAAGAGCGTGCCCCAATACGCCGCTCTGGAGCCGCAGGGGGCGGGGCTAATGCTGGCCTCAGAGAAACCCTTCACCTTCACTCACCGCGACGGGGCACCGATCCAACTGGGACTCGAACCCATGGAGCAGGAGAAGACAGGTACACACTGAGCACAGGTACACACTGAGCTCAGGTACACACTGTGAGCACAGGTACACACTGTGAGCACAGGTACACACTGTGAGCACAGGTACACACTGTGAGCTCAGGTACACACTGTGAGCACAGGTACACACTGTGAGCACAGGTACACACTGTGAGCACAGGTACACACTGAGGTCAGGTACACACTGAGGTCAGGTACACACTGTGAGCACAGGTACACACTGTGAGCACAGGTACACACTGTGAGCTCAGGTACACACTGAGCACAGGTACACACTGTGAGCACAGGTACACACTGAGGTCAGGTACACACTGTGAGCACAGGTACACACTGTGAGCACAGGTACACACTGTGAGCTCAGGTACACACTGAGGTCAGGTACACACTGTGGGCACAGGTACACACTGAGGTCAGGTACACACTGTGAGCACAGGTACACACTGAGGTCAAGTACACACTGTGATCAGGTACACACTGTGAGCACAGGTACACACTGAGGTCAGGTACACACTGTGAGCACAGGTACACACTGTGAGCACAGGTACACACTGTGAGGTCAGGTACACACTGAGCAGGACTTCTGTGGAACTTTAAAATACTTGGTCAGGCCTAAAAAGAGAAACATATATTTGCTCCTCAGTGTCTGATCCATGAACGGTCCTTAATGTGCTTCACACAATATTTAATGACATAGTTTTAAACGTTTAAACGTTTTCTAGACTTTTCTAAACCACGTAATAACACTTTCAGAGATGAACACCTGCTCTGAGCAGACTGTTCCATGTCATCTTTCTATTGTTGTATATATTATACATTTATGTATATATTATATAACATAATAGTATATAATATAAATATTATGTAATATACAGTATGAATATCTGCTCTGAGCCTGTAGCAGACCGATCCACATCCATGTTCTTCTGTTGCATGTGTCCTTTCTATTGTATATAAGATACATTTATGTATATAAATATATATTATACATTTATATATAGACTTCCGTTCTGTCGTGTCCATGGCCGTTCCATCTGCTGCTCGTTCACGGCTGAAGCCGACACTGTGGTCGCCATAGAAACACCGGGCCGTCACCGCAGAGACGCCTCGGTCTCTTCTGTCTCTGATAAAATACAATACTCCAACAAGACGAGCTTTGTATCACTACAGCCCTGGATCAGAGGGAGGCGCAGAGTGAGGCGCAGAGTGAGGCGCAGAGTGAGGCGCAGAGTGAGGCGCAGAGTGAGGCGCAGAGTGAGGCGCAGAGTGAGGCGCAGAGTGAGGCGCAGAGTGAGGCGCAGAGTGAGGCGCAGAGTGAGGCGCAGAGGGAGCAGCAGAGTGAGGCGCAGAGTGAGGCGCAGCAGAGTGAGGCGCAGCAGAGAGAGGCGCAGCAGAGAGAGGCGCAGCAGAGTGAGGCGCAGCAGAGTGAGGCGCAGCAGAGAGAGTCCAAACTAAAGCTTCCAGAACAAAGGCTTGTCTCTTGCTGTAGCTTTGAACATGCTTTGATCTGTTTTAAAGTGCTACATTCAGGAGCTTGTTCATAATTCAAACATCAGTGGAAACGACAGTCTGCTCCGTGAGCAGTGATCTGCAGTGAAGATCAAGGTTAGCGGGTTCTGCTGAAAACAAATAATCAGAATCTGTGTTCACTAAAACTAATGTCAATGTGGATTTATTATTGAACTGAGTGCATGACTTCAGAATAGTCTTTGTCGTTGGTTAAACATTGTGACTTTAGTTTGCTTCTGTTGCCGTAGAAACGCCGTCAGACGTTCACTGCCTGACGTCTGCTCGAATACAACCATCGAAGTGAAAACTCTTTCAAAAAGAGAGGTCTTACAAAGATGCTCGGAAGTGAACAAGGCCGTAGGTCTGTGACGAAGGTTGTTATGGTGTTTTTACACGGTTTAGAACTCGGTCCATTTAGAGCGAGACGAGAGCTCAGAGGAAAAGACAGACCGGGTCATTCTGCATCAGCTGAAAACAGGATAACGATAAGTGCGTTATGTAAGCACAGACTGTTTTTATATGATAGAGCGAAACATCGTCCATGAGCACTTCCCTGTGACCAATCTCCATCTAAATACATTCAGGTACTGTCGATGAATACTTTAGTGTTTGTATCTTTGTATCGTTCATTTCCACATGAAAGGATGAAAAACTATACATTTGGAACGGATGCATTAAGACCTGTCTCCTCATGAGAGGTCTGTTATGAGGTCTGTCATAAGGTCTGTCGTCATGAGGTCTGTCGTCATGAGAGGAGGAGGTCTGTCGTCATGAGAGGAGGAGGTCTGTCGTCATGAGGTCTGTCGTCATGAGAGGAGGAGGTCTGTCGTCATGAGAGGAGGAGGTCTGTCGTCATGAGAGGAGGAGGTCTGTCGTCATGAGAGGAGGAGGTCTGTCGTCATGAGGAGGTCTGTCGTCATGAGGTCTGTCGTCATGAGGTCTGTCATGAGGTCTGTCGTCATGAGGTCTGTCGTCATGAGGTCTGTCGTCATGAGAGGAGGAGGTCTGTCGTCATGAGAGGAGGAGGTCTGTCGTCATGAGAGGAGGAGGTCTGTCGTCATGAGAGGAGGAGGTCTGTCGTCATGAGAGGAGGAGGTCTGTCGTCATGAGAGGAGGAGGTCTGTCGTCATGAGAGGAGGAGGTCTCTCGTCATGAGAGGAGGAGGTCTGTCGTCATGAGAGGAGGAGGTCTGTCGTCATGGGAGGAGGTCTGTCGTCATGAGAGGAGGAGGTCTGTCGTCATGAGGTCTGTCGTCATGAGAGGAGGTCTGTCGTCATGAGAGGAGGAGGTCTGTCGTCATGAGAGGAGGAGGTCTGTCGTCATGAGAGGAGGAGGTCTGTCGTCATGAGAGGAGGAGGTCTGTCGTCATGGGAGGAGGTCTGTCGTCATGAGAGGAGGAGGTCTGTCGTCATGAGGTCTGTCGTCATGAGAGGAGGTCTGTCGTCATGGGAGGAGGAGGTCTGTCGTCATCGGAGGAGGTCTGTCGTCATGAGAGGAGGAGGTCTGTCGTCATGGGAGGAGGTCTGTCGTCATGAGAGGAGGAGGTCTGTCGTCATGAGGTCTGTCGTCATGAGAGGAGGTCTGTCGTCATGAGAGGAGGTCTGTCGTCATGAGAGGAGGAGGTCTGTCGTCATGAGAGGAGGAGGTCTTTCGTCATGAGAGGAGGAGGTCTGTCGTCATGAGAGGAGGAGGTCTGTCGTCATGGGAGGAGGTCTGTCGTCATGAGAGGAGGAGGTCTGTCGTCATGAGGTCTGTCGTCATGAGAGGAGGTCTGTCGTCATGGGAGGAGGAGGTCTGTCGTCATCGGAGGAGGTCTGTTGTCATGAGAGGAGGTCTGTCGTCATGAGAGGAGGTCTGTCGTCATGAGAGGAGGAGGTCTGTCGTCATGGGAGGAGGTCTGTCGTCATGACAGGAGGAGGTCTGTCGTCATGAGAGGAGGAGGTCTGTTGTCATGAGAGGAGGAGGTCTGTCGTCATGAGAGGAGGTCTGTCGTCATGAGAGGAGGTCTGTCGTCATGAGAGGAGGAGGTCTGTCGTCATGGGAGGAGGTCTGTCGTCATGAGAGGAGGTCTGTCGTCATGAGAGGAGGTCTGTCGTCATGAGAGGAGGTCTGTCGTCATGAGAGGAGGAGGTCTGTCGTCATGGGAGGAGGTCTGTCGTCATGAGAGGAGGTCTGTCGTCATGAGAGGAGGTCTGTCGTCATGAGAGGAGGAGGTCTGTCGTCATGGGAGGAGGTCTGTCGTCATGACAGGAGGAGGTCTGTCGTCATGAGAGGAGGAGGTCTGTTGTCATGAGAGGAGGAGGTCTGTCGTTATGAGAGGAGGTCTGTCGTTATGAGAGGAGGTCTGTCGTCATGAGAGGAGGTCTGTCGTTATGAGAGGAGGTCTGTCGTCATGAGAGGAGGTCTGTCGTCATGAGAGGAGGAGGTCTGTCGTCATGGGAGGAGGTCTGTCGTCATGACAGGAGGAGGTCTGTCGTCATGAGAGGAGGAGGTCTGTTGTCATGAGAGGAGGAGGTCTGTCGTTATGAGAGGAGGTCTGTCGTTATGAGAGGAGGTCTGTCGTCATGAGAGGAGGAGGTCTGTCGTTATGAGAGGAGGTCTGTCGTCATGAGAGGAGGTCTGTCGTCATGAGAGGAGGAGGTCTGTCGTTATGAGAGGAGGTCTGTCGTCATGAGAGGAGGTCTGTCGTCATGAGAGGAGGAGGTCTGTCGTCATGGGAGGAGGAGGTCTGTCGTTATGAGAGGAGGTCTGTTGTCATGAGAGGAGGAGGTCTGTCGTCATGGGAGGAGGAGGTCTGTCGTCATGAGAGGAGGAGGTCTGTCGTCATGAGAGGAGGAGGTCTGTCGTCATGAGAGGAGGAGGTCTGTCGTCATGAGGTCTGTCGTCATGAGGTCTGTCGTCATGAGAGGAGGTCTGTCGTCATGAGAGGAGGAGGTCTGTCGTCATGAGGTCTGTCGTCATGAGGTCTGTCGTCATGAGGTCTGTCGTCATGAGAGGAGGAGGTCTGTCGTCATGAGAGGAGGAGGTCTGTCGTCATGAGAGGAGGAGGTCTGTCGTCATGAGAGGAGGAGGTCTGTCGTCATGAGAGGAGGAGGTCTGTCGTCATGAGAGGAGGTCTGTCGTCATGGGAGGAGGTCTGTCGTCATGAGAGGAGGAGGTCTGTCGTCATGAGAGGAGGAGGTCTGTCGTCATGAGAGGAGGAGGTCTGTCGTCATGAGAGGAGGAGGTCTGTCGTCATGAGGTCTGTCGTCATGAGAGGAGGAGGTCTGTCGTCTTGAGAGGAGGAGGTCTGTCGTCATGAGAGGAGGTCTGTCGTCATGGGAGGAGGTCTGTCGTCATGGGAGGAGGTCTGTCGTCATGACAGGAGGAGGTCTGTCGTCATGAGAGGAGGAGGTCTGTTGTCATGAGAGGAGGAGGTCTGTCGTTATGAGAGGAGGTCTGTCGTCATGAGAGGAGGAGGTCTGTTGTCATGAGAGGAGGTCTGTCGTCATGAGAGGAGGTCTGTCGTCATGAGAGGAGGTGGTCTGTCGTCATGAGAGGAGGAGGTCTGTCGTCATGAGAGGAGGAGGTCTGTCGTTATGAGAGGAGGTCTGTCGTCATGAGAGGAGGAGGTCTGTCGTTATGAGAGGAGGTCTGTCGTCATGAGAGGAGGTCTGTCGTCATGAGAGGAGGTCTGTCGTCATGAGAGGAGGTCTGTCGTCATGAGAGGAGGTCTGTCGTCATGAGAGGAGGTCTGTCGTCATGGGAGGAGGTCTGTCGTCATGGGAGGAGGTCTGTCGTCATGGGAGGAGGTCTGTCGTCATGAGAGGAGGTCTGTCGTCATGAGAGGAGGTCTGTCGTCATGAGAGGAGGTCTGTCGTCATGGGAGGAGGTCTGTCGTCATGAGAGGAGGTCTGTCGTCATGAGAGGAGGTCTGTTGTCATGAGAGGAGGTCTGTCGTCATGAGAGGAGGAGGTCTGTCGTCATGAGAGGAGGAGGTCTGTCGTCATGGGAGGAGGTCTGTCGTCATGAGAGGAGGTCTGTCGTCATGAGAGGAGGTCTGTCGTCATGAGAGGAGGAGGTCTGTCGTCATGGGAGGAGGTCTGTCGTCATGACAGGAGGAGGTCTGTCGTCATGAGAGGAGGAGGTCTGTTGTCATGAGAGGAGGAGGTCTGTCGTTATGAGAGGAGGTCTGTCGTTATGAGAGGAGGTCTGTCGTCATGAGAGGAGGTCTGTCGTTATGAGAGGAGGTCTGTCGTCATGAGAGGAGGTCTGTCGTCATGAGAGGAGGAGGTCTGTCGTCATGGGAGGAGGTCTGTCGTCATGACAGGAGGAGGTCTGTCGTCATGAGAGGAGGAGGTCTGTTGTCATGAGAGGAGGAGGTCTGTCGTTATGAGAGGAGGTCTGTCGTTATGAGAGGAGGTCTGTCGTCATGAGAGGAGGAGGTCTGTCGTTATGAGAGGAGGTCTGTCGTCATGAGAGGAGGTCTGTCGTCATGAGAGGAGGAGGTCTGTCGTTATGAGAGGAGGTCTGTCGTCATGAGAGGAGGTCTGTCGTCATGAGAGGAGGTCTGTCGTTATGAGAGGAGGTCTGTCGTCATGAGAGGTCTGTCGTTATGAGAGGAGGTCTGTCGTCATGAGAGGAGGTCTGTCGTCATGAGAGGAGGTCTGTCGTCATGGGAGGAGGTCTGTCGTCATGAGAGGAGGAGGTCTGTCGTTATGAGAGGAGGAGGTCTGTCGTCATGAGAGGAGGAGGGTCTGTCGTTATGAGAGGAGGAGGTCTGTCGTTATGAGAGGAGGTCTGTCGTCATGAGAGGAGGAGGTCTGTCGTCATGGGAGGAGGAGGTCTGTCGTTATGAGAGGAGGTCTGTTGTCATGAGAGGAGGAGGTCTGTCGTCATGGGAGGAGGTCTGTCGTCATGAGAGGAGGAGGTCTGTCGTCATGAGAGGAGGAGGTCTGTCGTCATGAGAGGAGGAGGTCTGTCGTCATGAGGTCTGTCATGAGGTCTGTCGTCATGAGAGGAGGAGGTCTGTCGTCATGAGAGGAGGAGGTCTGTCGTCATGAGAGGAGGAGGTCTGTCGTCATGGGAGGAGGTCTGTCGTCATGAGAGGAGGTCTGTCGTCATGGGAGGAGGTCTGTCGTCATGGGAGGAGGTCTGTCGTCATGACAGGAGGAGGTCTGTCGTCATGAGAGGAGGAGGTCTGTTGTCATGAGAGGAGGAGGTCTGTCGTTATGAGAGGAGGTCTGTCGTCATGAGAGGAGGAGGTCTGTCGTCATGAGAGGAGGAGGTCTGTCGTCATGAGAGGAGGTCTGTCGTCATGAGAGGAGGTCTGTCGTCATGAGAGGAGGAGGTCTGTCGTCATGAGAGGAGGTCTGTCGTCATGAGAGGAGGTCTGTCGTCATGAGAGGAGGTCTGTCGTCATGAGAGGAGGTCTGTCGTCATGGGAGGAGGTCTGTCGTCATGAGAGGAGGTCTGTCGTCATGAGAGGAGGTCTGTCGTCATGAGAGGAGGTGGTCTGTCGTCATGAGAGGAGGAGGTCTGTCGTCATGAGAGGAGGAGGTCTGTCGTTATGAGAGGAGGTCTGTCGTCATGAGAGGAGGAGGTCTGTCGTTATGAGAGGAGGTCTGTCGTCATGAGAGGAGGTCTGTCGTTATGAGAGGAGGTCTGTCGTCATGAGAGGAGGTCTGTCGTCATGAGAGGAGGTCTGTCGTCATGAGAGGAGGTCTGTCGTCATGAGAGGAGGTCTGTCGTCATGAGAGGAGGTCTGTCGTCATGAGAGGAGGTCTGTCGTCATGGGAGGAGGTCTGTCGTCATGGGAGGAGGAGGTCTGAAGTATGAGCCGGTCAATCATCCAAATATGTTTGTTTTGGTTTAATAAATACATGAAAGTCTCTTTAAGTTTCATTTGTGAACCAATCACATCATCTGCCTTCATTTTTACCTTTTAAATACTGAAAGCAGATTTGTCACAGCTCTTTTCTGCTAAAATCCATGTGAAAAACTATGACAGGATAAATCCAGGAACATGGACTTTTTATGAGTCATGTTTTTGTGATTCCCAAAGTTTTGTTTTCTGTAGTTACAGTGCCTTGCGAAAGTATTCGGCCCCCTTGAACCTTTCAACATTTCTCCACATTTCAGGCTTCAAACATGAAGATATAACATTTTATTTTTTTGTCATGAATCAACAACAAGTGGGACACAATCGTGAAGTGGAACGAAATTTATTGGATAATTTAAACTTTTGTAACAAATAAAAAACTGAAAAGTGGGACGTGCAATATTATTGGGCCCCTTTACTTTCAGTGCAGCAAACTCAGTCCAGAAGTTCAGTGAGGATCTTTGAATGATCCAATGTTGTCCTAAATGACTGATGATGATAAATAGAATGCACCTGTGTGTAATCAAGTCTCCGTATAAATGCACCTGCTCTTTGATAGTCTCAGGGTTCTGTTTAAAGCACAGAGAGAACCATGACGACAAAGGAACACACCAGGCAGGTCCGAGATACCGTTGTGGAGAAGTTTAAAGCCGGATTTGGATACAAAAATATTTCCTAAGCTTTAAACATCTCAAGGAGCACTGTGCAAGCAATTATATTGAAATGGAAGGAGTATCAGACCACTGCAAATCTACCAAGACCCGGCCGTCCCTCCAAACTTTAATCTCAAACAAGGAGAAGACTGATCAGAGATGCAGCCAAGAGGCCCATGATCACTCTGGATGAACTGCAGATAACTACAGCTGAGGTGGGAGAGTCTGTCCATAGGACAACAATCAGTCGTGCACTGCACAAATCTGGCCTTTATGGAAGAGTGGCAAGAAGAAAGCCATTTCTCAAAGATATCCATAAAAAGTCTGGTTTAAAGTTTGCCACAAGCCACCTGGGAGACACACCAAACATGTGGAAGAAGGTGCTCTGGTCAGATGAAACCAAAATCAAACTTTTTGGCCACAATGCAAAACGATATATTTGGCGTAAAAGCAGCACAGCTCATCACCCTGAACTAGAGTTTCGATCGGGCCTGAAGAATGAAGCCCGACCTGGCCCGAGCCCGCTAATGTTAAGCCCGAGCCCGTATAAGCCCGACCAATGAACGCTGTATAACAGGCCCGAGCCCGACAGAACCCGACACATCTGATTTCCCGATGTACGCACTCACCTTCCAATTGCAAGCTTAGTCTCCACTTGATCCATTTCTACTATTGTTCCTGTTCGCTGTTGACCACAGCATGCAGCAGGAGACACGGGGATGATGCGTTCACGGCTCGCTGCTGCTGTAGGACACGCTGGTTACGGTGTCATTAATATATTAATCTTTTTTTAATAACTTGTTGTCAATCAACGGACATTGTTATTAATAAATATATATATATATATATATATGCATATCATTATGTATAAAATAATTAAAAAATAATTATAATAATAATAAAAAAGAAACATATATTTAAAAAAAGAAACCCGAGCCCGGCACAAACCCGACAGCGCCAAATGAGGCCCGAGCCCGGCCCGAACTCAGGTCGGGCCTCGGGCCTGCTCGGGCTCGGGCTGAAAAGCGAAACTCTACCCTGAACACACCATCCCCACTGTCAAACATGGTGGTGGCAGCATCATGCTTTGGGCCTGCTTTTCTTCAGCAGGGACAGGGAAGATGGCTAACATTGATGGGAAGATGGATGGAGCCAAATACAGGACCATTCTGGAAGAAAACCTGTTGGAGTCTGCAAAAGACCTGAGACTGGGACGGAGATTTATCTTCCAACAGGACAATGATCCAAAACATAAAGCCAAATCTACAATGGAATGGTTCACAAATAGACGTATCCAGGTGTTAGAATGGCCAAGTCAAAGTCCAGACCTGAATCCAATCGAGAATCTGTGGAAAGAGCTGAAGACTGCTGTTCACAAACGCTCTCCATCCAACCTCACTGAGCTCCAGCTGTTTTGCAAGGAAGAAGGGGCAAGAATTCCAGTCTCTCGATGTGCAAAACTGATAGAGACATACCCCAAGCGACTTGCAGCTGTAATTGCAGCAAAAGGTGGCGCTACAAAGTATTAACGCAAGGGGGCCGAATAATATTGCACACCCCACTTTTCAGTTTTTTATTTGTTAAAAAAGTTTAAATTATCCAATAAATTTCGTTCCACTTCACGATTGTGTCCCACTTGTTGATTCTTGACAAAAAATTAAATTTTTATATCTTTATGTTTGAAGCCTGAAATGTGGCAAAATGTTCAAAGGTTCAAGGGGGCCGAATACTTTCGCAAGGCACTGTAGATCTAATCCTGAGAGTTTGAAACCCGTCCCATGTTTTGCAGCGTCTCAAACCTGATCCATGCATCATAATCTCTGAGGCTAATTCAATATTTCCATATTCAATAACTGTTTGGTCTCTTTGGCCTCAGCTGAAGGGCGTTCTTTGTCCTGACGTCACATTTAGGTGCAGAAAACATATGACTCATAAGTGTGAGAATAGAAATGTTTTTATGGTTTTCCGTAACGTCCTGCCTATGGTCCCAACACTCCACCGTTACCCGCCTGCTGTTCCTGCAGACTAACGACCAGTGCTTTACGAGAACAAGCCTTATTTACTCAACACGAGGAAATCAATCAGGACGCTGTTTAAATTCACTGCGTGGCGTGATCGTCCGACTGTGTGTTTTAACAAATGGGGCATGGATGTGGATCAGAGCTTGACACAGGGACTGTCGATACTGCAGCAGATGTAGTGAGTATCGCAGGATCAATAAAGTCTCTTAGGAGTCGTTTCTCTCTTGGTTTTAATGACTGCAGCGTCTGTCCTTGATGGAAACTGTACGAACACACTCTACTCTGATGAAGAATGTATTTAGAAATATGTGACTCAGAGATAAACCAACTGGATTATTACTTTTATTATAAGGAAACATACATTTTACTAACAACCTTTTCTCATGTTTTATCTGAGAAACTGAGGAAACCGGTTCCATGGTCTCGCTGTTTGCACTTTCAAAGCTACTGTTAGTCCATTGGGATTTCTTTTCCCTATTACACTGGGTAACAAAAAATTTTTTTTGAAAATAGTCCAGGGTTTTCCAGCTGAACTAATGTTGATGCTCTGAGTCCGAAGATGACCTTGGTTTTGCTCAATCAGGTCAGGATTTTTTGCTACAGAAATGTTTTTAAATCAATTTTGCGTAAAAAACTAATTTCTGCGGATCATCAGCTGAGAAACCCTTGACGTTTTTTCCGTTTTCCTCAAGAAATAAAAGTCAACGTATCCAAAGTCATTCAGTTTGTATTTACTCCATCAAATTTGATAAGCAGAATTCATAATAACGTAGACGTACATAATCCGTAACACTGTGGCTGTATCTCACACAGTTGACCTGATAGAACCCAGAACACCAACATTAGTCTGAATCAGCTGAGAAACCCCTGACCATTTTTGGGCTGTCAACTTGTGTTATCATTATCATTATTATTATTATTATGATTTGGACGTATTTTGGACTCGGACGTATTGAGGCGTAAACTTAAAGTAAATGTTTGTAACAGGCTCTTTGTGCTAATTCTGCTCTGATTGGATGAGACAGACAGATATTCATGGAATTATAAAAACAAAGTCGGTTTTAATCAAAAATACTACATTTTCATGTCATTTTTGCTCTGTTTGAGTCCGTGTGAACCAGAAAACAATTAATCGATTACTAAAATAGTTGTCGACTATTTCAATAATCGATTAGTCGTCGATTAATCGATTAGTTGTTTCAGCCCTAAATGACATACATTATTTCAGTGTATATTTACATAAACTAGAAGGGCCTAGCTTTAAAATGATGCATCACACAAGCATGTGAGATGTAAGATGTGTTTTTAAATAAGCAAAGACATTTGCACGAGCCAAAGCAGATGTAAGAGTTTAAACTGCTTTTATTTATGATAATAATGACTACTGCTGCTCTTATGTTCCAGTCACCTCCCATCTGCATCATATCTGGCTCTCTCTCTCTCTCTGGCTCTCTCTCTCTCTCTCTGGCTCTCTCTCTCTCTCTCTGGCTCTCTCTCTCTCTCTCTCTCTCTCTCTCTGCTCTCTCTCTCTCTCCTCTCTCTGGCACTCTCTCTCTCTCCTCTCTCTGGCTCTCTCTCTCTCTCTCTCTCTCTCTCTCTCTCTCCTCTCTCTCTCTGGCTCTCTCTCTCTCTCTCTCTCTCTGGCACTCTCTCTCTGGCTCTCTCTCTCTGGCTCTCTCTCTCTCTCTGGCTCTCTCTCTCTCTCTGGCTCTCTGGCTCTCTCTCTCTGGCACTCTCTCTCTCTCTCTGCTCTGTCTCTCTCTCTCTCTGGCTCTCTCTCTCTGGCTCTCTCTCTCTCTCTCTGGCTCTCTGGCTCTCTCTCTCTCTGGTCTCTCTCTCTCTCTCTCTATCTCTCTGGCTCTCTCTCTCTCTCTCTCTCTCTCTCTCTCTCTCTCTCTCTCTTTGGCTCTCTCTCTCTCTCTCTCTGGCTCTCTCTCTCTCTAGCTCTTTGGCTCTCTCTGGCTCTCTCTCTCTCTCTGGCTCTCTCTCTCTGGCTCTCTAGCTCTTTGGCTCTCTCTAGCTCTTTGGCTCTCTCTGGTCTCTCTCTCTCTCTGGCTCTCTGGCTCTCTGGCTCTCTCTCTCTCTGGTCTCTCTCTCTCTCTGGCTATTTGGCTCTCTGGTCTCTCTCTCTGGCTCTCTCTCTCTCTGGCTCTCTCTCTAGCTCTTTGGCTCTCTCTGGTCTCTCTCTCTCTTTGGCTCTCTCTCTGGCTCTTTGGCTCTCTCTGGTCTCTCTCTGGCTCTCTCTCTCTGGCTCTTTGGCTCTCTGGTCTCTCTCTCTCTCTCTCTGGCTCTTTGACTCTCTCTGGCTCTCTCTCTCTGGCTCTCTGTCTCTCTCTCTCTCTGGCTCTTTGGCTCTCTCTGGTCTCTCTCTCTCTCTGGCTCTCTGGTCTCTCTCGCTCTGGCTCTCTCTCTCTCTCTCTGGCTCTCTGTCTCTCTCTCTCTCTGGCTCGCTCTGTCTCTCTGGCTCTCTGTCTCTCTCTCTCTCTGGCTCTTTGGCTCTCTCTGGTCTCTCTCTCTCTCTCTGGCTCTCTGGTCTCTCTCTCTCTGGTCCCTCTCTCTCTCTCTCTCTCTCTCTGGTCTCTCTCTCTCTGGCTCTCTCTGGTCTCTCTCTCTCTCTCTGGCTCTCTCTGTTTTGAGTTCTCCCACAGGCTCTCAGCCTAGACTGTCATGTGTTCAGATCCCCTGTACTGTCATGTGTTCAGATCCCCTGTACAGTCATGTGTTCAGATCCCATGTACAGTCATGTGTTCAGATCCCCTGTACTGTCATGTGTTCAGATCCCATGTACAGTCATGTGTTCAGATCCCATGTACAGTCATGTATTCAGATCCCCTGTACTGTCATGTGTTCAGATCCCCTGTACAGTCATGTGTTCAGATCCCATGTACAGTCATGTGTTCAGATCCCCTGTACTGTCATGTGTTCAGATCCCATGTTCTGTCATGTGTTCAGATCCCCTGTACTGTCATGTGTTCAGATCCCCTGTACTGTCATGTGTTCAGATCCCCTGTACTGTCATGTGTTCAGATCCCCTGTACTGTCATGTGTTCAGATCCCATGTACAGTCATGTGTTCAGATCCCATGTACAGTCATGTGTTCAGATCCCCTGTACTGTCATGTGTTCAGAACCCATGTACTGTCATGTGTTCAGATCCCCTGTACTGTCATGTGTTCAGATCCCCTGTACTGTCATGTGTTCAGATCCCCTGTACTGTCATGTGTTCAGATCCGCTGTACTGTCATGTGTTCAGATCCCATGTACTGTCATGTGTTCAGATCCCATGTACTGTCATGTGTTCAGATCCCCTGGTACTGTCATGTGTTCAGATCCCCTGGTACTGTCATGGGTTCAGATCCCCTGGTACTGTCATGTGTTCAGATCCCCTGTACAGTCATGTGTTCAGATCCCATGTACTGTCATGTGTTCAGATCCCATGTACTGTCATGTGTTCAGATCCCCTGTACTGTCATGTGTTCAGATCCCCTGTACTGTCATGTGTTCAGATCCCCTGTACTGTCATGTGTTCAGATCCCCTGTACTGTCATGTGTTCAGATCCCCTGTACTGTCATGTGTTCAGATCCCATGTACTGTCATGTGTTCAGATCCCCTGGTACTGTCATGTGTTCAGATCCCCTGGTACTGTCATGTGTTCAGATCCCCTGTACTGTCATGTGTTCAGATCCCCTGTACAGTCATGTGTTCAGATCCCATGTACTGTCATGTGTTCAGATCCCATGTACTGTCATATGTTCAGATCCCCTGTACTGTCATGTGTTCAGATCCCCTGTACTGTCATGTGTTCAGATCCCCTGTACTGTCATGTGTTCAGATCCCCTGTACTGTCATGTGTTCAGATCCCCTGTACTGTCATGTGTTCAGATCCCCTGTACTGTCATGTGTTCAGATCCCCTGTACTGTCATGTGTTCAGATCCCATGTACTGTCATGTGTTCAGATCCCCTGGTACTGTCATGGGTTCAGATCCCCTGGTACTGTCATGTGTTCAGATCCCCTGTACTGTCATGTGTTCAGATCCCATGTACTGTCATGTGTTCAGATCCCATGTACTGTCATGTGTTCAGATCCCATGTACTGTCATGTGTTCAGATCCATGGTACTGTCATGTGTTCAGATCCCCTGGTACTGTCATGTGTTCAGATCCCCTGGTACTGTCATGTGTTCAGATCCATGGTACTGTCATGTGTTCAGATCCCCTGTACAGTCATGTGTTCAGATCCCATGTACTGTCATGTGTTCAGATCCCCTGTACTGTCATGTGTTCAGATCCCATGTACGTGTGGCAGCAGTCTGCGGAGGATGTGACGGTGCATGTGCGGCTGCCCCGGGGCGTGACCAAAGACTCGGTGCAATTCCGTCTGACGGCCGACAGTGTCAGCGTGAGCGTCCCGGGCGCCACGCCGCTGCTGCGAGGAACACTGTTCGCCGCCGTGGACCCTGAGGCCAGCGCCTGGATCCTCAAAGACTCCAGGTCTGGACCCAGTCTTTGATCGAACACATTTCTCTGTCTTTAAACAACTGCAGCGACTGAAGCCATGTTTTATGCATCATGTTATTGTTGATAAACCAACAGCAGATCAGAAAATCAAACGATGAAATCAAACAAAAGCCCTTTAGACGTAGAAGTAGCAGAATCGCACCATGAGCTCATGAATATAGGGAACTTTCTATACAGCAACCCGGCTTCTCTAAAACCTCCTTTTTCTCATATCTTCTGCTTTTATTTATTTCTGTTTTTTATTTTATTTGTGTTGTCCTCATGAACTTCATATTCTTGAAGTAAGCTTTATATAGCACCACAGTGTCATTGGGCGTCCTCACTCCTCACATGGAACAGCCACACTCCAGGTGAACTAATCAGTGTTGTGCCAGTTCAAAGTTCAGTTCATTTTACTTTTTTCGTGAAATAGTCAAATATATACACTACGAGCTATAATATATCTATGTAAAAAAATAAAAAATAACCCTAACACCTTTGGCCCTCCGCGGGTGGTTATCCCTCTCTAAGCTCGGGTCCTCTACCAGAGGCCTGGGAGCTTGAGGGTTCTGTGCAGTATCTTTGCTGTTCCTAGCACTGCACATTTCTGGACCCAGATGTCCGAGGTTGTTCCGGGGATCCGCTGTAACCACTCATCTAGCTTCGGGGTCACTGCCCCGAGTGCACCGATCACCACGGGCACTACTGTGACCTTTACCCTCCAGGCCCTCTCCAGCTCCTCTCTGAGACCTTGGTATTTCTCAAGCTTTTCATGTTCTTTTTTCCGGATGTTACCATTGCTTGGAATTGCCACGTCCACCACCACGGCTGTCCTCTGCCCTTTGTCCACCACCACGGCTGTCCTCTGCCCTTTGTCCACCACCACGGCTGTCCTCTGCCCTTTGTCCACCACCACGGCTGTCCTCTGCCCTTTGTCCACCACCACGGCTGTCCCCTGCCCTTTGTCCACCAACACGGCTGTCCTTTGCCCTTTGTCCACCACCACGGCTGTCCTCTGCCCTTTGTCCACCACCACGGCTGTCCTCTGCCCTTTGTCCACCACCACGGCTGTCCTCTGCCCTTTGTCAACCACCACGGCTGTCCTCTGCCCTTTGTCAACCACCACGGCTGTCCTCTGCCCTTTGTCCACCACCACGGCTGTCCTCTGCCCTTTGTCCACCACCACGGCTGTCCTCTGCCCTTTGTCCACCACCACGGCTGTCCTCTGCCCTTTGTCCACCACCACGGCTGTCCTTTGCCCTTTGTCCACCACCACGGCTGTCCTCTGCCCTTTGTCCACCACCACGGCTGTCCTTTTCCCTTTGTCCACCACCACGACTGTCCTCTGCCCTTTGTCCACCACCACGGCTGTCCTCTGCCCTTTGTCCACCACCACGGCTGTCCTCTGCCCTTTGTCCACCACCACGGCTGTCCTCTGCCCTTTGTCCACCACCACGGCTGTCCTCTGCCCTTTGTCCACCACCACGATGTCAGGTTGGTTCATTACCATTCGATCGGTCTGTATCTGGAAGTCCCACAGGATCTTCGCACGCTCATTCTCCACCACCTTTGGAGGAGTTTCCCACTTAGACCTTGGGGTTTCCAGCCCATACTCTGCACAGATGTTTCTGTACACTATGCAGCCACTTGGTTATGGCGTTCCATGTAGGCCTTCCCTGCCAGCATCTTGCACCCTGCAGTTATGTGTTGGATCGTCTCAGGTGCCTCTTTGCACAACCGACACCTTGGGTCTTGTCTGGTGTGGTATATCTGGGCCTCTATCGCTCTGGTGCTCAGGGCCTGCTCCTGTGCAGCCATGATGAGTGCCTCTGTGCTGTCCTGTAGGCCAGCCCTTTCTAGCCATTGGTAGGACTTCTTGAGATCAGCCACTTCTGTTATGCTCCGGTGGTACATGCCGTGTAGGGGCTTGTTCTCCCATGATGGGCTCTCCTCCAGCACCTCCTCATCTCGCCACTGCCTGAGACATTCACTGAGTACGTCATCTGTTTTGGCCTTCTCCATGATGTAGTTATGGAGTTTGGATGTTTGGTCCTGGACAGTGGCTCTCACACTCACTAGTCCTCGGCCTCCTTCTTTACGGCTTACGTACAGTCTCAGGGTGCTGGATTTGGGATGGAACCCGCCATGCATGGTAAGGAGCTTTCGAGTTTTAACATCCGTGGTCTGAATCTCTTCCTTTGGCCACCTGATTATTCCTGCAGGGTATCTGATCACTGGCAGGGCGTAGCTGTTAATTTCCCGGGCCTTGTTCTTGCCATTGAGCCGGCTTCTTAGGACCTGCCTTACTCGCTGGAGGTATTTGGCAGTTGCCGCTTTCCTCGTCACCTGTTCGAGGTTGCCATTTGCCTGTGGTATACCGAGATACTTGTAACTGTCCTCAACGTCTGCTATTGTTCCCTCTGGGAGTGAGATCCCTTCTGTGTGGACTACCTTGCCTCTCCGAGTCACCATCCTGCTACATTTCTCGAGTCCGAATGACATCCCGATGTCATGGCTGTAGATCCTGGTTGTTTGGATCAGAGAGTCGATGTCTCTCTCGCTCTTGGCGTACAGCTTGATGTCATCCATGTAGAGGAGGTGACTGATCTTTGCTCCGTTCCTGAGGCGGTATCCAGAGCCAGTCTGGTCAATTACTTGGCTTAGAGCAGTGTCTCCCAAAGTGGGGTCCGCGGCCCCCTGGTGGGCCGCGAGGGTACTGCAGGGGGGCCGCGGGAGGTCATAAAAAAAATAATATAATTATTTAATGTTAAATTTGAATAATCCACTGTAATCATTTTTGTATTACAATGTTTGTAGCAGAGGCTATTTCCCCAAAATAAAATAACCAGAAGAGCCTATTCTTAATGTTGTCTTCTTGGTTATTATTTTGGGGGGCCACGCAGACCCGTCAGATATTTAAGGGGGCCTCGGTGTTACCGAGTTTGGGAATGGCTGGCTTAGAGGGTTGAGGCCTATGCAGAACAGTAGTGGGGACAGAGCATCTCCTTGGTAGATACCACATTTGATGGTCACTTGTGCGAGTGGCTTGCCATTTGCAATATATATATATATATATATATATATATATATATATATATATAATCATATATAATCTCTTTTATATTATCTCAAAGCAGCTCCAACCAAAACACTCATTCATTTCTTGGTGCATGAAGAAAGTAAATAGTTAGAACGGACATCGGTCTCTGAAGCTGAGCAGATTAATAAACTCCTTTTTCAAAGAGGAAACTCCAAAAACCCAGTGTGGAAACAAACCCAGATCAGAATGTTGGAGAGATCGCTCTGGAGAAGAGGCTGTTTGGTTCAGACCCTCAGAGACTCAGAAAATACAAAATAAGTAGGAGCTATGTTTCTTAGCTCGCTGTACATTTTGGGACCCTTTTTTCAAATAATTTTTGATCTGTCCATTTCCCAGATCGGTCCTCAATGGCACATAAAAATACATACAAAATTGCCTTGGATATTAAAAGGTATTGTTTGGTAATATCACACAGCCTAAAGTTTCAAAAGCAATATCATTTTTAAATTGTTTCTAAGACGTTAAACAGTGCATTGGAAGATGACACAATGAAAATGCTTCAATATATATTGGATTTAAATAAAGTGGTATTGTGGATTCATTTATTCCTTGAATATATTCACTCAAAGCAGCTCCAGCCTAAAACACACATTCATTTCTTTTGCGTCATCCTGAAAAACACATTTCAGAGTTTTCTAAAAGCTGCTGAGAACAGTTCAGAGCCCGGGGTCAGAAACTATCCACAATCAGAACTAAATGTTTTGTTCCCGACAGGAGCAGCTCCTACTACAAAGTTTCCTTCAGAATATTTTGATCCAGTTTGTTTACGAAGGACCTGGGCCCGGTCTCTGACAGGGTCTAGACTGTGTTAGTCCGTCTCTAAGAGAGGCCACGGGTCAGACTCGGACTCTGTGAGATCAGTTTGATCCTGTAACGAGTCGGTCTCTTTCATTACACACACAGACACTCTCCATGAAGCAGTGAGACACAGACACTCTCCATGAAGCAGTGAGACAGACACTCTCCATGAAGCAGTGAGACAGACACTCTCCATGAAGCAGTGAGACACAGACACTCTCCATGAAGCAGTGAGACAGACACTCTCCATGAAGCAGCGAGACACAGACACTCTCCATGAAGCAGTGAGACACTCTCCATGAAGCAGTGAGACAGACACTCTCCATGAAGCAGCGAGACACAGACACTCTCCATGAAGCAGATGAGACACAGACACTCTCCATGAAGCAGCGAGACACAGACACTCTCCATGAAGCAGTGAGACAGACACTCTCCATGAAGCAGCGAGACACAGACACTCTCCATGAAGCAGCGAGACACAGACACTCTCCATGAAGCAGCGAGACAGACACTCTCCATGAAGCAGCGAGACACAGACACTCTCCATGAAGCAGCGAGACACAGACACTCTCCATGAAGCAGTGAGACACAGACACTCCATGAAGCAGCGAGACACAGACACTCTCCATGAAGCAGTGAGACAGACACTCTCCATGAAGCAGCGAGACACAGACACTCTCCATGAAGCAGCGAGACACAGACACTCTCCATGAAGCAGTGAGACACAGACACTCTCCATGAAGCAGTGAGACACAGACACTCTCCATGAAGCAGCGAGACACAGACACTCTCCATGAAGCAGCGAGACACAGACACTCTCCATGAAGCAGTGAGACAGACACTCTCCATGAAGCAGTGAGACACAGACACTCTCCATGAAGCAGTGAGACACAGACACTCTCCATGAAGCAGTGAGACACAGACACTCTCCATGAAGCAGTGAGACACAGACCCTCTCCATGAAGCAGTGAGACAGACACTCTCCATGAAGCAGTGAGACAGACACTCTCCATGAAGCAGTGAGACACAGACACTCTCCATGAAGCAGTGAGACAGACACTCTCCATGAAGCAGTGAGACAGACACTCTCCATGAAGCAGTGAGACAGACACTCTCCATGACTGAATGTTTGTGTTATAAAGAGTGTATTGTCCTCAGGCATCAACACTGTCATAGGATGCTCTGGAACTAATGTGAACCTGAGACTGTTTTATATAAATATATATACATTATCCATCCATCCATCTTCTTCCGCTTCATCCGTTGCCGGGTCGCGGGGGCAGCAGTCTAAGCAGAGACGCCCAGACTTCCCTATCCACACACACTTCCTCCAGCTCGTCCGGGGGGACCCCAAGGCGTTCCCAGGCCAGCTGAGAGACATAGTCCCTCCAGCGTGTCCTGGGTCTTCCCCGGGGCCTCCTCCCGGTGGGACGTGCCCGGAACACCTCCCCAGGGAGGCGTCCAGGAGGCATCCGGAACAGATGCCCGAGCCACCTCAACTGGTTCCTCTCGACGTGAAGAAGCAGCGACTCTACTCCGAGCTCCTCCCGTGTGACTGAGCTCCTCACCCTATCTCTAAGGGAGCAGCGGCTCTACTCCGAGCTCCTCCCATGTGACTGAGCTCCTCACCCTATCTCTAAGGGAGCAGCCACTCTGCGGAGGAAGCTCATTTCGACCGCTTGTATCCGCGATCTCGTTCCTTCGGTCATTACCCAAAGCTCATGACCATAGGTGAGGGAGGGAACAAAGATTGACCGGTAAATCGAGAGCTTTGCCTTTCGGCTCAGCTCCCTCTTTACCACAACGGTCCGATACAGCTCTGACTGCAGACGCTGCTCCCTCTTTACCACAACGGTCCGATACAGCGACCGCATCACTGCGCACGCTGCACCGATCCGCCTGTCAATCTCACGCTCCATCCTTCCCTCACTCGTGAACAAGACCCCGAGATACTTGAACTCCTCCACTTGAGGAAGGACCTCCCCACCCACCTGAAGAGGGCAAGGCACCTTTTTCCGGTCGAGCACCATGGCCTCAGATTTGGAGGTGCTGATTCTCATCCCAGCCGCTTCTCACTCGGCTGCAAACCGTCCCAGTGCATGCTGCAGGTCCTGGTTCGTTGGAGCCAACAGGACAACATCGTCTGCAAACAGCAGAGATGAAATCCTGTGGTCCCCGAACCGGACCCCCTCCGAACCCTGGCTGCGCCTAGAAATTCTGTCCATGAACACAGTGAACAGAACCAGTGACAAAGGGCAGCCCTGGCGGAGGCCAACATTCACCGGGAACAGGTCTGACTTACTGCCGGCAATGCGAACACAGCTCTGGCTCCGGTCATACAGGGACCGGACGGCCCTCAGCAGAGGACCCCGGACCCCGTACTCCCGGAGAACCCCCCAAAGGACACCCCGGGGAACACGGTCGAACGCCTTCTCCAAATCCACAAAGCACATGTGGACAGGTTGGGCGAACTCCCATAAACCCTCGAGTATCCGATGGAGAGTATAGAGCTGGTCCAGTGTTCCGCGACCGGGACGAAAACCACACTGCTCCTCCTGAATCCGAGATTCGACCATCGGCCGTAGCCTTGGAGTACCTTGGAGTAGACCTTGCCAGGGAGGCTGAGGAGTGTGATCCCACGATAATTGGAACACACCCTCCGGTCCCCCTTCTTGTAGAGAGGGACCACCACCCCGGTCTGCCACTCCATTGGCACCGCCCCCGATCGCCACGCGATGTTGCAGAGACGTGTCAGCCAAGACAGTCCTACAACATCCAGAGACTTTAGATAATCAGGGCGGATCTCATCCACTCCCGGCGCCTTGCCACCATGGAGGCTGCCAACCACCTTGGTGACCTCAGCCAGGGAGATGGAAGTATCCGCCCCAACATCCTCAGCCTCTGCCTCGTGACGGGGGGATTGAGGAGAACCTCGAAGTATTCCTTCCACCGGCCGACAATATCCCCAGTCGAGGTCAGCAGCTCTCCACCCGCACCGCACACGGTGTTGGCAAAGAACTGCTTCCCCCTCCTGAGGCGCCGGACGGTTTGCCAGAACCTCTTCGAGGCCGACCGATAGTCATGCTCCATGCACTCTCCGAACTCCTCCCAGACCCGGGTTTTTGCCTCTGCAACGGCCCGGGCCGCGGCGCGCTTGGCCTGCCGGTACTGGACAGCTGCCTCAGGAGTCCCCCGAACCATCATGGCTCGATAGGACTCCTTCTCCAGCCTGACGGCATCCCTTACTGCCGGTGTCCACCACCGGGTTCGGGGATTGCCGCCGGGACCAGCACCAGAGACCTTGCGACGTCAGCTACGAGCCGCCGCATTGGCAATAGAGGAAGAGAACATGGTCCACTCAGACTCGATGTCCCCCTCCTCTGCCGGGACCTGGGAGAAGCTCTCCCGGAGGTGTGAGTTGAAAGTCCGTCTGACAGGGGGCTCAGCGAGACGTTCCCAGCAGACCCTCACTACACGCTTGGGTCTGCCAGGTCTGACCGGCCTCCTGCCCTGCCAGCGGATCCAACTCACGACCAGGTGATGATCGGTTGACAGCTCCGCCCCTCTCTTCACCCGAGTGTCCGAGACACGCGGTCAAAGGTCAGATGATACGACAACAAAGTCGATCATCGACCTCCGGCCTAGGGTGTCCTGGTGCCACGTGCACTGGTGGACACCCTTGTGCTCGAACATGGTGTTCGTGATGGACAGGCCGTGACTGGCACAGAAGTCCAACAACTGAGCACCGCTCGGGTTCAGATCAGGGGGGCCGTTCTTCCCGATCACCCCTCTCCAAGTGTCACTGGCATTTCCCACATGGGCGTTGAAGTCCCCCAGGAGAATAACGGAGTCCCCGGGCGGTGCACTGTCCAGTACCCCTCCCAAGGACTCCAAGAAGGCCGGGTACTCTGCACTGCCGTTAGGCCCGTAGGTCGTCACAACAGTGAGAGACTTGTCCCCCACCCGGAGGCGGAGGGACGCGACCCTCTCATTCACCGGGGAGAACTCTAACACGTGATGGCTGAGATGGGGGGCAATGAGAATGGCCACCCCAGCTCGCCGCCTCTCCCCGCGGGAGGGGGGGGCTGGGGGGGTCCGGGTGGGGGGGGGGTTCTATCCTTTGTTAGTGACATTTGTGCAAACTGAGACGAGGACAGAAACACATTTCTGTGGTGGATCCTGAGGTGGAACAGATCGTACAATATTGAAGCCAGAGTGAATGGTTTACCTTGAAAAAAACGTATGAATGGAAATATGTTTATTTAGCTTCAGTCTCAGGCTGCATGAAAAATAACTTTATTTTATATTTGAGTTGTTTGGATCCAGAAAGATTAGTGAATGTTTATATTTATATATGAATATATTTGACCAAAACAAAGCATGAAGTTGTTAGATTGAAAAAACACTTTCATTTTATTCTGTGTCATTATAGAAGTTTAAGTGTTCAGTCTCTCACGAGTTAATCTGATTATTGATTAATCTGCTTTTACTAATTACACTTCACTTTGATTAAAAAGCCTGAAACGGTTTCACTGAAAAATCTGAGAATAAATATTTAATGTTGTAATTAAAGCATCAAAGGGAAAGAGTTTGTACAAAGTTATTTAAAACTTTAACAGAACATAGACTTTAACAGAACATAGACTTTAACAGAACATAGACTTTAACAGAACATAGACTTTAACAGAACATAGACTTTAACAGAACATAGACTTTAGCAGAACATAGAACATAGACTTTAACAGAACATAGACTTTAACAGAACATAGACTTTAACAGAACATAGACTTTAGCAGAACATAGACTTTAACAGAACATAGACTTTAACAGAACATAGACTTTAACAGAACATAGACTTTAACAGAACATAGACTTTAACAGAACATAGACTTTAACAGAACATAGACTTTAGCAGAACATAGACTTTAACAGAACATAGACTTTAACAGAACATAGACTTTAACAGAACATAGACTTTAACAGAACATAGACTTTAACAGAACATAGACTTTAACAGAACATAGACTTTCGGGTCGAAGGTCCGACTGTAAAAGACTTGAAGGTGATAGGTCCATTTGCAGGAGGTTCCTCTGGGCTCTGTTGGACTCTGTTGGGCTCTGTTGGGCTCTGTTGGACTCTGTTGGACTCTGTTGGACTCTGTTGGACTCTGTTGGACTCTGTTGGGCTCTGTTGGGCTCTGTTGGACTCTGTTGGGCTCTGTTGGACTCTGTTGGGCTCTGTTGGGCTCTGTTGGACTCTGTTGGACTTTGTTGGACTCTGTTGGACTCTGTTGGGCTCTGTTGGACTCTGTTGGGCTCTGTTGGACTCTGTTGGACTCTGTTGGGCTCTGTTGGACTCTGTTGGACTCTGTTGGGCTCTGTTGGACTCTGTTGGTTTGGACCGGTCCAGGACCAGGTCCTGACCCAGGCCCAGGTCCAGGTTCTCTCTGTCCCTGTTTCAAGCTTCTTTTGTAAATACAGTTTTTACACAACACTGTTTTTATAATAGAAAATCTTGAGCCCAATATTTTCAAATCCAAATGAATTTCAGACATTGGTTTTCTGATGCAGACTTATCCCCAAAGGGTTAGATCCCATCAGCCGCTGCCTGAACAGTCATATTGAGTCCAAATGTATATTAGTTATTATCATAGATTATAAACTCATATCTGTGTGCTGCTGTGTTACAGTCTGGAGGTGACGTTACAGAAGCGGACAGAGGGGGCGCTGTGGCCTGAGCTGGTGTTGGGCGACAGAAGAGGAGAGTTAGTGATGAGCGAGGAGCAGACGGCACAGATCCACGAGAGACTGAAACACCTCACAGCAGAAGACCTGGTGAGATCACACGACTCTGAGAACCATCAACCACAGGAAGTGGGAAAACTGGTGATCCAAGATGGCGTCCTGTTCAAATGAATGGCTTGTGCTCAGTGGATCATGGGACTTCACGGAGACCGGGAGATTAGCAGAACTCGCCCATATTTGGGCATCGTCTGGTCCTCCCGGTTCTGTGCACTGGATTATCTCCCATGATGCATTGCGCCAAACGTGCGTGTGTGGCTCTCATGCACGTGCACAGAGTGGCTGGGCAGCTCTCTGACCAATCAGAGCTGATCAGAGCAGCAGCAGGGCGGAGTCAGAGCGGGAAGGAAAGGAACAGAGTTTGTGGCAGTAAAGTGTGGATTTAAAGAAAACAGAAGGATTTAAGAAGAAAAAAAGTTCAGGACGACAAGGGACACTAACATCCCCACAAAACCTGACCTTTATGAAAGCTGTAGGTTCTCTGTCAGGTTCTCTGTCAGGTTCTCTGTCAGGTTCTCTGTAGGTTCTCTGTAGGTTCTCTGTCAGGTTCTCTGTCAGGTTCTCAGTCAGGTTCTCTTTCAGGTTCTCTGTCAGCTGAGGTCGAGCTGTTTTAGTTTACATTGAGTTCTATGGGACTTTTTTCTGGGTAGCCCTCATGAATTCAGTCTGCAGTACCACAGCGCCCCCTGTGGCCATGGGTGGGACAGCTATAAGCTAGTAACACTCTATCCAGTTATTATTATAGATCCATGGCTTGAAAAAAGAGGAAAGTTATGTTTACAAAACTTAGACGGTGTTTGTTAACCTTTCAAAACCATAAACTCTATAACCATAACACTCATATTTCTAGTCAAACCAAATCATTTGGGATAAATTAGAAGATATTATTATTAGTATTTTTTCTGATTTATATCTGTATTATTTTTCTTTATAACAACTTTCTAAATCTGTTTACATGAGTTTTTCTTCAGCAGTGAAAGAGAAACATTCACCAAAGATCATTTAGGACAAACTTTGGAATCATTTTCTGTGCAGCCATTGTTCCCACTCATAATTAGAGTAAGAGCCTCAGCTTCAGAGTCCAGCCTGTTCTCCAATGGGTCCTGAAGCAGATTCAAACAGATTTCACCTGATTTTAAAGATGTCATTTCTTTCCTGCAGAAGTGGTGGATTTCCTTTTTAACCCAGTCTCATCATTACTGACTGACACGTGCAGAATATGCAACTGTTTCTGTTTGATCCGACCGCTACACACTATCCTCATCTGAAAACACGTAATCGTTCACAGACAGAGGAGGCCTTTGAGTCTAGTTGATGCTGATTGGCTGAGATCTAAAGATGTGACAGAACTAAAAGTATGTGTGTGTGAAAAGTAATGACAGATCTGAGCTTTATGGATTTATTTATAGTATTTATTATTGTTTAGTGCGGTTTTAAAGAAGGTCTGAGCCAGGTCTGAGCCAGGTCTGAGCCAGGTCTGAGCCAGGTCTGAGCCAGGTCTGAGCCAGGTCTGAGCCAGGTCTGAGCCAGGTCTGAGCCAGGTCTGAGCCAGGTCTGAGTCTATAAACTCTTCTTCTTCTTCATCGATGTGAAGGAAGTCCCTGTGGTCTCTGGTCTCTGGTCTCTGGTCTCAGGTCTCAGGTCTCTGGTCTCTGTTCTCAGGTCTCTGGTCTCTGGTCTCTGGTCTCTGGTCTCGGGTTTCAGGTCTTTGGTCTCTGGTCTCTGGTCTTAGGTCTCAGGTCTCAGGTCTCAGGTCTCAGGTCTCAGGTCTCAGGTCTCTGGTCTCTGGTCTCTGGTCTCAGGTCTCTGGTCTCAGGTCTCTGGTCTCTGGTCTCTGGTCTCTGGTCTCTGGTCTCTGGTCTCAGGTCTCAGGTCTCTGGTCTCTGGTCTCTGGTCTCAGGTCTCAGGTCTCTGGTCTCTGGTCTCAGGTATCGGGCGATGATGTGGACAAACCGGCGTGTAACTCTCAGGAGCTGGAGGACTGTGATGGATTCCCCGATGACAGCTTCAGCCTGGTGCATTATGACGGAGAATCACTGAAGCCTACTCGAGTGGTGAGTCTGTCCTCTCCTGTCCTCTCCTGTCCTCTCCTGTCCTCTCCTGTCCTCTCCTGTCCTCTCCTGTCCTCTCCTGTCCTCTACATGTTCTACATGTTCTACATGTAGAACATGTAGAATTCCCTTTTGGCTTGTGACTTTGTTATACCATACAATTTATTCTTGTATAGCCCTAGGTCACAACAGAAGTCATCTCAGAGACTTAACAAAACCATTGAAATCACCAACACAGGTCAGAGAATCAACAGTTAAAACACATGAAGAATATAAAGCACACACAGAAGAAAATGTCCATACATGTTGTAGAATGCTAAAGTGTCCTGATCATCACCAATCCTTTCTGTTGGACACTAACTGTCCAACAAGACCCTCCTGCATCCACAAGGAACAACTCTTAAAAAACCCAGTGGGAAAAAGTGAGAAACCTTGGAGGAGAACTAGGGAAACCCACAGGGAGGGAGACCCATATGAGAAAGGGATCCGCTCCTCCGGACGGACAGACTAATGATCTAGGACCTAAGCTAGCTACAGAACGTGGACCAGTGGCCGCTGAACGTGGACAGGTCCGGTGCAGGACTGAAGCACTCCCAGGCGGGTCGGGCGGGGCAGTCCGCAGGTGTAGATGGAGGAGGCCAGGCTCAGAGATCCCGTCATCGTACCATGAAACAGACAATGGGACAACGGGTGAATAGCAATGAACAAACTACAGTCAGAATCCTAATAATGCTAAACAGATAAAGTAGGAAGGAGGAGAGGATAGTGCTCAAGTTACCATACTTCTCCAGCAGGGGGCTCCCTATGCAGCTTGACTGACACTCTGAGGAGTTTAGCCTTCCCTGAGTCTTACCTTCCTAACCATATGCTAAACTAAAGAGGACTGTTTTAAACCTAGCCTTGAGCGTAGGGTTGAAGATGCAGCGGACCGGGTCCCACATACGCAGACTCCAAGACCAGACAACAACCTAACCAAATGCTAAGTTGAAAAAGAGTGTTTTAAGCCTGGCCTTGAATGTGGAGACCGTATCTGCTTCCTTAACATAAATGAAGGGAGCTAAATGCTAAATGCTCTGCCACCAACAGTGACCTTTGAGACCTTAGGGACCACCAGACGTCTGGCGTTTTGTGAGCGCAACGCTCGACCTGGTTGATACGACACTAACGTGTCTTGGAGATAAGAGGGAGCCAAGCCATTTATGGCTTTATATGTTAAGAGAAGGATTTTAAACTTTATTCTGTACTCCACAGGGAGCCAGTGGAGTGATTTTAACACCGGAGTTATGTGCTCCCTCCTTTTGGTACCTGTTAAGATCCTAGCTGCTGTATTCTGAACGAGCTGGAAGCTCTTCAAAGAGGCTTTAGGGCACGCTGCCAGTAAAGCGTTACAGTAGTCGAGCCTTGAGGTGACAAACGCGTGAATGAGTTTTTCCGCGTCGCTTTTAGGAAGGAAATTCCTCATTTTAGCGATGTTCCGTAAGTGGAAGTACGCCGTTTTAGTTGCTTGGCTTATATAAGCCTTGAAGGAGAGTTCTTGGTCAAAAATGACTCCAAGATTCCTCACAGTGTTACTGGGTATTATACTGACATTATCGAGAGTAACCATCTGGTTAGTGAGGGAGTCACGCAGGCGCTTCGGACCGAGTAGGATCACTTCTGTCTTCTCCGGGTTGAGAAGTAGGAAGTTAAGAGTCATCCACATTTTAAGGTCCTTTATGCAGCACTGAGCTTTTCTAGCTGATCTGTCTGATTTGGCTTCATCGACAGATAAAGCTGTGTGTCATCTGCATAGCAGTGGAAATTAATTCCATGCTTTTTAATAATGTTTCCCAGTGGCAGCATGTAGAGAGTGAAAAGAATCGGTCCGAGTACCGAACCCTGCGGCACACCGAATTCCACTCCAGAATAAGGCGACGAGTCCTGATTCACATTGACGAAGTGATATCGATCTGATAAATAGGATTTAAACCAGCCAAGGGCTGTTCCTCTAAGACCTATATCACATTCTAGCCTCTGCAGTAGAATGCTGTGGTCTATTGTGTCAAATGCAGCACTAAGGTCCAGTAGGACCAGCACTGACACTTGTCCATTATCGGCAGCTAGTAGTAAGTCATTTGTGACTTTGACTAGTGCCGTTTCAGTCTATGATGAGCTCTGAATCCTGATTGAAAGACTTCAAACATATCATTTTCCTGCAGGTGGCAGCGGAGCTGCTCAGCTATAAGTTTTTCCAGGATTTTAGATATAAAAGTGAGGTTTGAGATCGGTCTGTAGTTTGTAAGTATTTCTGGGCGTGGTGCAATGCCAGTGTGACGGAGCGGTCCTCCCTGGGGGGGGAGGACCGACACACACACACGACACACACACACACACACCGACACACAGACACACACACCGACACACACACACCGACACACACACACCGACACACACACCGACACACACCGCACACACCGACACAGACACACACACACACAAACACACACACAAACACACACATACACAGACACACACACACACAACAACACACAGACACACACACCGACACACACACACACACAGACACACCGACACACACACACACATACACCGACACACACACACACATACCGAAACACAGACACACACATCGACACACACACACCGACACACACCGACACACACACACCGACACACACACACACACCGACACACACACACCGACACACACACACACACCGACACACACACACACAACACACACACACACACACACCGACACACACACCGACACACACACACACCAACACACACACACACACACACACCGACACACAGACCGACACACACACACACCGACACACACACACACCGACACACAGACACACACACACCGACACACACACACACACACACACCGACACACAGACACACACACACACACACACATACACACACACACACACACACACACACACACACACAGGTCTGTCTCCTCTGGGCTTGTGCGCGAGGATCGAACCAGGACACTATTTCCTGGTGGGTTAAAGACACACACTTGCTTGTTGCAAGTGTGTGTCTTTGTGTAATGCAAAATAAATACACATTGCGTTACTGGACTATGGAGCCTTAAGGGAGTGTCCTCTCCGCGTGTCTAAATTAAAGCTGTGGTACCTACATTTTCCCGTGCATTAATAATGCATAAAATTTTAGTTGTGCTAAAATTAAAATGTTGTGAACAAATCAAACATTTTGTTTATTTTGTTTTGCACTTTTAAAAAAGAGCCCTGTGAGTCATTATTTGACTTGGATTGAGTGGATTATCAGAGCTGATCTAACTTAAGCATAAAAAGAAGCAAGTATAAAATCTCGATTGAGAACCACGCGACAAATGGAGTGAGAACCAAACACCATCTGCTGGTGCTCATCTGAGAACCTCACTGAAAACGTTATGTTCAGCCCTGGTTATGAAACAGTCTGATCCATCTCCGTGTCCAGCAGTAAAACACATTCTTTTGCTGTAAAGAATCACATGATGGTTTCCTAGCAACCGTCAGGTCAGAACTCCTCTAATGGACTCTTTGAATGATGAGAATATTCTTATGTTTAGGTGAGTGAATAGAATTGAGGCGTTTGTGGAAAAAAAGTCCTTTATTGGGATGTTTCATCTTGTTTTCCTCATGAGAAATGTTTTGTAATTTGAATAAAAGAAACTAAAAAACAGGTCGAAGGAAGAAGCTTTGAGCAGATTCATTTTGGTCCGAAAAGTGGGGCGTGCAATATTATTGGGCCACTTTACTTTCAGTGCAGCAAACTCAGTCCAGAAGTTCAGTGAGGATCTTTGAATGATCCAATGTTGTCCTAAATGACTGATGATGATAAATAGAATGCATCTGTGTGTAATCAAGTCTCCGTATAAATGCACCTGCTCTTTGATAGTCTCAGGGTTCTGTTTAAAGCACAGAGAGAACCATGAAGACAAAGGAACACACCAGGCAGGTCCGAGATACTGTTGTGGAGAAGTTTAAAGCCGGATTTGGATACAAAAAGATTTCCCAAGCTTTAAACATCTCAAGGAGCACTGTGCAAGCAATTATATTGAAATGGAAGGAGTATCCGACCACTGCAAATCTACCAAGACCCGGCCGTCCCTCCAAACTTTCATCTCAAACAAGGAGAAGACTGATCAGAGATGCAGCCAAGAGGCCCATGATCACTCTGGATGAACTGCAGATAACTACAGCTGAGGTGGGAGAGTCTGTCCATAGGACAACAATCAGTCGTGCACTGCACAAATCTGGCCTTTATGGAAGAGTGGCCATTTCTCAAAGATATCCATAAAAAGTCTCTTAAAGTTTGCCACAAGCCACCTGGGAGACACACCAAACATGTGGAAGAAGGTGCTCTGGTCAGATGAAACCAAAATCGAACTTTTTGGCCACAATGCAAAACGATATGTTTGGCGTAAAAGCAACACAGCTCATCACCTTGAACACACCATCCCCACTGTCAAACATGGTGGTGGCAGCATCATGCTTTGGGCCTGCTTTTCTTCAGCAGGGACAGGGAAGATGGTTAAAATTGATGGGAAGATGGATGGAGCCAAATACAGGACCATTCTGGAAGAAAACCTGTTGGAGTCTGCAAAAGACCTGAGACTGGGACGGAGATTTATCTTCCAACAGGACAATGATCCAAAACATAAAGCCAAATCTACAATGGAATGGTTCACAAATAGACGTATCCAGGTGTTAGAATGGCCAAGTCAAAGTCCAGACCTGAATCCAATCGCGAATCTGTGGAAAGAGCTGAAGACTGCTGTTCACAAACGCTCTCCATCCAACCTCCCTGAGCTCCAGCTGTTTTGCAAGGAAGAATGGGAAAGAATTCCAGTCTCTCGATGTGCAAAACTGATAGAGACATACCCCAAGCGAGTTGCAGCTGTAATTGCAGCAAAAGGTGGCGCTACAAAGTATTAGTGCAAGGGGCCGAATAATATTGCACGCCCCACTTTTCAGTTTTTTATTTGTTAAAAAAGTTTAAATTATAATATATATATTCAATTTAATTTTCAAATTATATTTGAATTTTGAAGTCAAAGCCCTAGTGTTTAGCAGTGCTGTAGAGGCTAGAGGATGCAGCCTCGTTCTGTGATTGGAGGAGAGCGGGTGTCACGCTAAAGCCTGGTGTATACTTGCGCGGCGCTGCTTACGTTAGCGGTTGCGGTGGACCTACGCAAGCACAATTTAATTTATACTCCTTGCGGAGTTTTGAGGAGAATGTTGTAATCCCACAACCAACCACATGATGGCGATCTCACAGGAGTTGCCTGAGAAACCAAAGCGGTCTCATTTACGCTGCTTTTTTCTCCTCTTCAGAACAAAAACATGAACAAACCGAGCTGTTTGAGATCATTCCATGTGTTTCTACTGTAGGTTTATGTGACAGTTCTATGGACTCATTATTTCTTAACTCATTTAACTGTGATGTTGTGAATAAAGACACAGTTCTTGTTGGAAACATAGTTATTATTAAATAGTTTTCAGCACAAACAGCAAAACAATAAAAGTGGTAAATATCTGAGACAAACATGAACAATTTAGAAGTGCAGGAGGAATGGAACAGACGCGATAAGCTACGATTCAAACAAGACAGGAACAGTGCAAAACAAACGACTGCACAGTTTATAAGTTATTTATATGTTAGATATAAGTTATTTATATGTTAGATATATGTTAGATATAAGTTAGATATGCAACTGTCTCCGCGTATATCAGGCTCTGCCATGAGCCCAAACTACTTTTCCTTTGGTTCCTTCGAAGCTTGAAGCAGTCTGCTCCGAAGTGCCTCGTCCATTGTCCCTGCTGCAAAACACACACACACCATGTGTTTCACTGCACTTTGAATCGATCAAAAACAAGTGGAACGTATTCAGCTGAATCATTTATAACACTTCAAAGCCTGACACCGTCTCAGGCTGAAAGAAGAACGGTGTCTCTGAAACAGTTTTTCAAAGAGTTGATTAAACAGCAGTGAGAAAGAAGTGAAATCTGCTTCATAATGATCCAGGAAATGAATGTACTGTATCATTCAGGAGGTGAGACACACGCAGGATTGCTATGGCAACAATGTAACTACAGCATCACTCACACGCTTCATGTTTATCCCAGACACAAACCAGCAGACGACCACAACTCGCTGTGTCCAGGATTTTTCTTAAATATACTTTTTATTTTACAAATATTTGAGTCAGAGTCGTTCTGACCAGACTGAGAGCTTCACTTTCACCTGCAAAACTGTGACTGACGTCATGACCCACACTTCAGAGAGAGAGGAGAATGTGTTCCATGGAGCACAGCAGCAGAGGTGGAGTTGGCTCTGGGTGGAGCAGGCTCTAGGTGGAGCAGCCTCTGGGTGGAGCTGCCTCTGGGTGGAGCTGCCTCTGGGTGGAGCAGGGTCTGGGTGAAGCAGGCTCTGGGTGGAGCTGCCTCTGGGTGGAGCAGGGTCTGGGTGGAGCAGGCTCTGGGTGGAGCTGCTGCTGTCACCTAAAGGGCAGCTGCACTTTGTGACTGTAGAATGTGAAGTATTTCCCTCTGGATATGAATGTTGTAAAAGATGAGGTCACTCTTTGATCTCTGCAGGTGAACCTAGAGTCATCAGTTCTGTTCTGTATCTCTGCAGGTGAACCTGGAGTCACCAGTTCTGCTCTGTATCTCTGCAGGTGAACCTAGAGTCACCAGTTCTGTTCTGTATCTATGCAGGTGAACCTAGAGTCATCAGTTCTGCTCTGTATCTCTGCAGGTGAACCTAGAGTCATCAGTTCTGTTCTGTATCTCTGCAGGTGAACCTATAGTCACCAGTTCTGCTCTGTATCTCTGCAGGTGAACCTAGAGTCATCAGTTCTGCTCTGTATCTCTGCAGGTGAACCTGGAGTCACCAGTTCTGCTCTGTATCTCTGCAGGTGAACCTAGAGTCACCAGTTCTGTTCTGTATCTCTGCAGGTGAACCTAGAGTCATCAGTTCTGCTCTGTATCTCTGCAGGTGAACCTAGAGTCACCAGTTCTGTTCTGTATCTCTGCAGGTGAACCTAGAGTCACCAGTTCTGTTCTGTATCTCTGCAGGTGAACCTAGAGTCACCAGTTCTGTTCTGTATCTCTGCAGGTGAACCTAGAGTCACCAGTTCTGTTCTGTATCTCTGCAGGTGAACCTAGAGTCACCAGTTCTGTTCTGTATCTCTGCAGGTGAACCTAGAGTCACCAGTTCTGCTCTGTATCTCTGCAGGTGAACCTAGAGTCACCAGTTCTGTTCTGTATCTCTGCAGGTGAACCTAGAGTCACCAGTTCTGCTCTGTATCTCTGCAGGTGAACCTAGAGTCATCAGTTCTGCTCTGTATCTCTGCAGGTGAACCTAGAGTCATCAGTTCTGCTCTGTATCTCTGCAGGTGAACCTAGAGTCACCAGTTCTGCTCTGTATCTCTGCAGGTGAACCTAGAGTCATCAGTTCTGCTCTGTATCTCTGCAGGTGAACCTAGAGTCACCAGTTCTGCTCTGTATCTCTGCAGGTGAACCTAGAGTCACCAGTTCTGCTCTGTATCTCTGCAGGTGAACCTAGAGTCACCAGTTCTGCTCTGTATCTCTGCAGGTGAACCTAGAGTCACCAGTTCTGTTCTGTATCTCTGCAGGTGAACCTAGAGTCATTCTGCTCTGTATCTCTGCAGGTGAACCTAGAGTCATCAGTTCTGTTCTGTATCTCTGCAGGTGAACCTGGGGAGTCACCAGTTCTGCTCTGTATCTCTGCAGGTGAACCTAGAGTCACCAGTTCTGCTCTGTATCTCTGCAGGTGAACCTGGGGAGTCACCAGTTCCTGTTCTCGGTGCAGTCCGACCCCAGCCTGATGCCGTGCCTCTGCCTCAGGCACGATGTGGACGCCTTGGTGTGGCAGCCGCGGCCACAGACGCCTGAGCACCTGTGGGAGCACGTGGCCACCTTCAATGCTCTCGGTAACGATGGTTTTCATCTGCTTCGCCTCCGAACATTTCAGATTCAAACCACTTTGGTTCTTTTTCCTTCAGTGATTATTCTAAAATCATGAGTCACGAATATCTGTGAAATATTGAGATTTTTCTAATTTAGCCGTTTTTTTAACATAATTCATCTGAACATGTCAAAATGAACACCTGAAATATTATAAACACATATTGTAGTTATATATTCTGGATAGCAGCAAATTAAACTCTAGTACTACTTTAATTTAGGCTCAAAGGTCTTTTTCCCACCTCTGCACCTTCTCCACCGACTCCCACTGATGACTGCTGTCGTTGTGTCCTTGGGCAAGACACTTAACCCCACTTTGCCCAAAGCCCCCACTGAAAGATCAAGGCTATGCTCACAGTCAGAGAGCAGCCGTCCTCCTGTGGACTCACCACCTGCAGAGGGTCAGTGAGGGGCTGGTGCTATGAGACTTGGGTGGCATCTCTGACTGCCACCCCCCTGACCCAGAAATGGATTAAAGGGAAGAAAATGGATGGATGGAGGTCTTTTTGAAGAGGAGCTCCTCACACACGTGTGTTAATCTGAACACACGTGTTAATCTGAACACGTGTGTTAATCTGAACACACGTGTTAATCTGAACACGTGTGTTAATCTGAACACACGTGTTAATCTGAACACGTGTGTTAATCTGAACACGTGTGTTAATCTGAACACGTGTGTTAATCTGAACACGTGTGTTAATCTGAACACGTGTGTTAATCTGAACACGTGTGTTAATCTGAACACACGTGTTAATCTGAACACACGTGTTAATCTGAACACACGTGTTCAGATTAACACACGTGATAATCTGAACACGTGTGTCAATCTGAACACACATGTTCAGATTAACACACGTGATAATCTGAACACGTGTGTCAATCTGAACACACGTGTTAATCTGAACACACGTGATAATCTGAACACGTGTGTTAATCTGAACACACGTGATAATCTGAACACTGTTAATCTGAACACACGTGATAATCTGAACACTGTTAATCTGAACACAAGTGTTAATCTGAACACACGTGATAATCTGAACACAAGTGTTAATCTGAACACACGTGTGTTAATCTGAACACACGTGTGTTAATCTGACCACACGTGTGTTAATCTGAACACACGTGTTAATCTGAACATGTGTTTCCTGTAGGCTACGTCCAGGCGTCCAAACGGGATAAGAAGTTTTCCACGTGTGCTCCTAACTTCTCGTACGCCGCTCTGGGCGAGTGTCTGCGGCGAGCGTTCATTTACCGTCAGCCGGCGCCGGTGGAGACGGTGCTGTTCAACCGGAGGCAGGGCCGGCAGGTGGCACAGGTGGCCCAGCAGCAGGTCTCCAGCCTGGACTCGGACCGGTCCATCCTGGGGTTCAGGGCCACCAACCAGAGGCTCTACATCCTCACCTCCAGCACTCTCTACGTGCTCAAGGTCAATAATGATTAGAGACGCTTATGCAAATGAGACGTTTATGCAAATGAGACGTTTATGCAAATGAGACGTTTGTGTAAATGAGACGCTTATGTAAATGAGACGCTTATGCAAATGAGACATTTATGCAAATGAGACGTTTGTGTAAATGAGACGCTTATGTAAATGAGACGCTTATGTAAATGAGACGCTTATGCAAATGAGACATTTATGCAAATGAGACGTTTGTGTAAATGAGACGCTTATGTAAATGAGACGCGTATGTAAATGAGACGCTTATGTAAATGGAACTTTTTCACTAAAACAGACCTGCAGTTGTTTTTAGATCTGGAACAGCTGTTAAACTTGTCTCCGTCCTGTCATGGTACGATGTCATTATACCACAATGTGTTTTGTCCATAAATTAGTTCTGTCGTTTATTTTCTTAGATCAAATGAAACTTTTTATCACAACACTCGTGAGCCGCCGCTCAGTTTCATGAATGGAATAAAAAACGCCACACCTCCCTCTGATGGTTACAGTTAGAGCGTCCTTCATACTGGTTTGTATATTTTCTACTTCAGACATAATTTCATTTTCTAAAAGAGGAAATAACAAAGTAAATCAGTAAATATAGAAGAATGGAGAATGTTTAAGGTAAAAGTGCCTTTTGTCTCTTCCTTGATGTAATGTGGAGCTCAGTCATATTTTCAGAATGGACCAAAGGACAATTCAAAGATGTTTCTGTTGTCATGGAACTGTGTGAAAATAAAAATGTCATTGTCATTAACAATGTATTTTTTATTGGTCTAAGTTAAAGTATACAGTATGTGTAGTTAATGTGTATATAAACTTTATCCATAAGCCTTTAAGGCCCCTCAGTCCAAACATTTTCTTCCGCTTTATCCTGTTTCCGGCCGCAGGGGCAGCTCTTGCTCCAGCTCGTCTGCAGAATCCCAAAGCGTTTCCAGCTGAGTCTTATCCTCAGATCTGGTCCCTCCAAAGTCACGTGTGGGGTGCCCCAGGGTTCTGTCCTTAGGCCCCTTGGGACAGGGGACAGTATATATACACACACAACTTTAAGTAATACAAAACAGTCAATAGAAAACAAACAACTCTTTTAAAGGAATTTTATTTTTGATTTTTTTTTTTCGAATTGCAGTGATTCTATTTTTGACATAGAATTTAATGCCACTCCATGTCCGATGTCTAAGGTCATCTGGTGAGGCATTAATGCAGGCCAGGCAGTGAGACTTCCCAGGGACCTTTCCAGTCTGTATGAAAGGTGTCATGGTCTTCTCCACAGCCTTCACCTCAGATGTAGACCATGGCTTTCTCTAACGTTCTAGGGAGAGAAATAAAAATATATTAGCAATATACACTCCCAGGGTTAGGACCAAGCAGCCTGGCTGTAATCCCCCACCTGGTACACTTACCAGAAGGGGCACTGCCACTACCATGGGGTGCATCTGGATGAATGGTTGAAGGTTCTCCGCTTGAAGTTTCTTTTAGCCCGTCCGTTTGTGAGAGGATCTCTACTGCTCTCCCTGTCGCACAGAAAATAAAAATACAAGTGGCCTTTAGGGGAAAAAAATCATACATATTTTAATAATATCAAGAATTACCTTCAGGCTCAATTTGTATCTGGTCGAGGCTCTTTCCTTCGAATTCCGTCACTCTTCCCTGCTCCATGGCCATCAACACTTTGCTGATTTTGGCCAGCTCCAGTGTCCCCTCTGGTAGTCTGTAATATTGTCTGTGGATGCGAATGTCATGGCCGAGGAAGTTGGCAAGTATGTCCATCTCATTCTCTTTCATATTGAGAACTGTAGACATAGTAGCTATGTGCTTTCTAAGTTTGGTTGAGGATAGCATCTCTGGATGCACCGCACCACATTCTTTGGCTACCTGGCGTAGGGAGTCTGATCCCCTGATGTGGGTGTCTGCGCCCGGGCGGGAAAAGAAGTATGGGTTATGGTCAGAGATGGAACAGGCCCTTCTGTTCTCCACCAGCACCTCCATCCAAGCAATCATTTTCAGGCCACATGCCTCCACAGCGACTTTCGCTTAAGCGATGCCCCACAGTCTATACAGTGCAAAAACTCACTGGATTTAACTGGGGAATTTGGCTGTTTAGCTGGGACTAAAGTTCCAATGCCGGCCTTTAAAACCTCAACATTGTGCTCACGGTTTCCACTATTCCTGATCAAATCAAAGTGAAGTTTACGTGCTTTAGATTTCACAGGTAGAGCCAATGCTCTGGCTACGTCACTTTCATTTCCATGTTTTCTAGTCAAATGACGGGACATTTTGTGGCAGGACATTGAACAGTAGAGGCAGAAGTGTCTCTTGCTGTATACTCGCCCCCCATTTTTCTTCTTTTGCAGCTGCATGATAACAATCTTATTTGCCTTTGGTTCGTCACTTTCCGAGTCTTGAAGAAAAGTGTTTTTGATTTTTCTTTTTCCATACTTTTTTACAGGTTTCTTCTTGACAGTTAAATCGTCAGAATCTGAGTCGATTTCATCAATTAGGGACTCTTGACTAAGCTGCACAAACAACAAATAATTTGTAATAATTCTATATAACAATTTGAAGTCATGACTTGTAGTCAGCACTTACCAGTGGTTTGTAAGCGTGCGCTTCAGTGTGCTGCTCTGTGATTGGCTGCAGCCTAATGAACCACACACTTGCACCTTTTCTAGCCTGACACCTGATTTCCTCTGTTGTGCTGCTCCATGATTGGCTCCAGCCTCTGTTGTGCTGCTCCATGATTGGCTCCAGCCTCTGTTGTGCTGCTCCATGATTGGCTCCAGCCTGCTGGACTGAAATTGCCCCAGTGTGCCCCTCCTTGATATCCCGCAACCCACCACCAGGGTTCCGACACATAACACACTTTTTTCAGGAAAGTAAACCTCCAGGGGTCCTTTCCATATTTTTACAGAGACTGCATAAGGACTGTTAGAAAAGCATTACCCATTGATTATTAAGCTTGGACCAGTGGGGTCCGGTGTTCGGGCCCCACCACGTAAAACCAGTCCCCATGACGTGAGTGGAATCTCAGGTTATGGACCCCACCAGGAGTTGAAAACAAGTGCACACACACACACACACACACACACACAGACACAGACACACACACACACACACACACACACACACACACACACACACACACACACACACACACACACACACACACACACACACAGAGACACACACACACACACACACACACACACACACACACACACACAGACACACACACACACACACACACACACACACACACACACACAGACACACACACACACACACACACACACACACACACACACACACAGAGACACACACACAGACACACACACACACACACACACACAGACACACACAGACACACACAGACACACACACAGAGACTAACTTATAACTATTTTCAATGAGAACAGTGAAGGTTTTTTACTGACAATAATCTGCAGTTTCATTTCTAAACAGTTTCTTTGTGTCTTTTCAACAATCCACAATCTTCCAAACTCAGACCATAAACATTCCCAAACTTTGAAAAGTGAATATAGAAAGTGAAAGACGGTGCCCATCAGCGGCTGTGGGGGATCCTCCGTGTGCCGCGGGACCAGCTCGTTTCGTGGTGATTGGATTTTTGGGCTGTGGTAAATTGAATCTGAGCTCGGCGGTTGTGGTTATTAGCGGCGGTGGTTTGGGCTGAAAACCAGACGTGTTTGATCAGTCCATTCATCTGCGCACAGACGCTACGCTACGTTAGCACAACATTAAACTTGACTTTATTTGAAGTGAGCAGAAGTCGCAGAATATAACAGTGAAATACAATATTTTACATTTATAATAATAAATGTGACACCTGTGACCAAAGAGCGAATATCATCATAAACGTAGTACAGTCTGACAGCACTGACGAGGTCCTCCTCTGGACCGGGTTTCAGACTGGTCCTGAAGTCTACAGCACTGACGAGGTCCTCCTCTGGACCGGGTTTCAGACTGGTCCTGAAGTCTACAGCACTGACGAGGTCCTCCTCTGGACCGGGTTTCAGACTGGTCCTGAAGTCTACAGCACTGACGAGGTCCTCCTCTGGACCGGGTTTCAGACTGGTCCTGAAGTCTACAGCACTGACGAGGTCCTCCTCTGGACCGGGTTTCAGACTGGTCTAAAAACCCGAACTCTGGAATCTCCAGGTGTGTCCCGAAGTCCTCAAATCTCTCCTTAGAAGATCTGCATTTCTGACCTCAGGTGGGCCTCAGGTGGACCTCAGGTGGATCTCAGGTGGATCTCAGGTGGACCTCAAGTGGACCTCGGGTGGCCCTCAGGTGGACCTCAGGTGGATCTCAGGTGGACCTCAGGTGGGTCTCAGGTGGGCCTCAGGTGGGCCTCAGGTGGACCTCAGGTGGACCTCAAGTGGGCCTCAGGTGGACCTCAGGTGGATCTCAGGTGGACCTCAAGTGGACCTCGGGTGGCCCTCAGGTGGACCTCAGGTGGGTCTCAGGTGGGCCTCAGGTGGGCCTCAGGTGGACCTCAGGTGGATCTCAGGTGGACCTCAGGTGGATCTCAGGTGGACCTCAGGTGGGTCTCAGGTGGGCCTCAGGTGGGCCTCAGGTGGACCTCAGGTGGATCTCAGGTGGACCTCAGGTGGGTCTCAGGTGGATCTCAGGTGGGCCTCAGGTGGATCTCAGGTGGGCCTCAGGTGGACCTCAGGTGGGCCTCAGGTGGATCTCAGGTGGGCCTCAGGTGGGCCTCAGGTGGGCCTCAGGTGGATCTCAGGTGGGCCTCAGGTGGATCTCAGGTGGATCTCAGGTGGATCTCAGGTGGGCCTCAGGTGGGCCTCAGGTGGACCTCAGGTGGATCTCAGGTGGGCCTCAGGTGGGCCTCAGGTGGGCCTCAGGTGGGCCTCAGGTGGACCTCAGGTGGGCCTCAGGTGGGCCTCAGGTGGACCTCAGGTGGATCTCAGGTGGGCCTCAGGTGGACCTCAGGTGGGCCTCAGGTGGGCCTCAGGTGGACCTCAGGTGGGCCTCAGGTGGACCTCAGGTGGGCCTCAGGTGGGCCTCAGGAAATAGGAAACATCTCCATAGCAACAAGAACCCATCAGACTGTTTCAAAAGTGTGAGCAGCAGAACGAGACTTTTGTTTTTCCACATTATTTTGGTGAACCTGAACCTCATAAAACATTAGTCTGTTTAAGGAGCATCAAGAGTTCCTCCAGAGGACTCCTCCAGCTCTCTGATTGGCTGCTCTCTGATTGGCTGCTCTCTGATTGGTTCCTGACAAAACTGTTTAAAAAAGAATGTCCCTTTAGACTTGAGTTTAGTGAAATTCTTGTAAAAGTGGATCCTGATGGAACCCTGTCTCAGCCAATGAGCCGTTACTGCGCCCCCTCCCTCAGGACCCCCTCGCTACTGCGCCCCCTCCCTCTGAACCCCCTCTGTACTGCGCCCCCTCCCTCAGAGCCCCCTCCCTCTGAACCCCCTCGTTACTGCGCCCCCTCCCTCAGGACCCCCTCGCTACTGCGCCCCCTCCCTCTGAACCCCCTCGTTACTGCGCCCCCTCCCTCAGAGCCCCCTCCCCTCTGAACCCCCTCGTTACTGCGCCCCCCTCCCTCAGAGCCCCCTCCCTCAGAGCCCCCTCCCTCAGAGCCCCCTCCCTCAGAGCCCCCTCCCTCAGGACCCCCTCGCTACTGCGCCCCCTCCCTCAGGACCCCCTCGCTACTGCGCCCCCTCCCCTCAGGACCCCCTCGCTACTGCGCCCCCTCCCTCAGGACCCCCTCGTTACTGCGCCCCCTCCCCTCAGAACCCCCCTCTGTACTGCGCCCCCCTCCCTCAGGACCCCCCTCGCTACTGCGCCCCCTCCCTCAGAACCCCCTCTGTACTGCGCCCCCTCCCTCAGGACCCCCTCGTTACTGCGCCCCCTCCCTCAGGACCCCCCTCTGTACTGCGCCCCCTCCCTCAGGACCCCCTCTGTACTGCGCCCCCTCCCTCAGAGCCCCCTTGTTACTGCGCCCCCTCCCTCAGGACCCCCTCTGTACTGCGCCCCCTCCCTCAGGACCCCCTCTGTACTGCGCCCCCTCCCTCAGAGCCCCCTCCCTCAGGACCCCCTCGTTACTGCGCCCCCTCCCTCAGGACCCCCTCGTTACTGCGCCCCCCTCCCTCAGGACCCCCTCTGTACTGCGCCCCCTCCCTCAGGACCCCCTCTCTGTACTGCGCCCCCTCCCTCAGGACCCCCCTCTGTACTGCGCCCCCTCCCTCAGAGCCCCCTCCCTCAGAGCCCCCTCCCTCAGGACCCCCTCGTTACTGTGCCCCCCTCCCTCAGGACCCCCTCGTTACTGCGCCCCCTCCCTCAGGACCCCCTCGTTACTGCGCCCCCTCCCTCAGGACCCCTCGTTACTGCGCCCCCTCCCTCAGGACCCCCTCGTTACTGCGCCCCCTCCCTCAGAACCCCCTCGTTACTGCGCCCCCTCCCTCAGAACCCTCTCGTTACTGTGTTTTTCTGATCAAGAATAAAAGATCGTTAATTCATCCCAAAGTGGGAGAATTTCCAGTGTTTGCATCGTCAGTCACGTCTGTCCTCACCTGATTCTTCTCTTTTACATTTAGTGTTTGGAACAGTTTTAATGATCAGAAGAAAAGTCCAAACAGAACCAGAAACACGGACAAGCACAGGGTACAGATCAATCAGGGGAGCACAGGTACAGGTGAAGATCAATCAGGAAGCATAGGTTACAGGTGAAGGTCAATCAGGGAAAGCACAGGTACAGATCAATCAGGGGAAAAAGGGTCACAGGTACAGATGAAAGGTCAATCAGGGGAGCACAGGTACAGGTGAAGGTCAATCAGGGAAGCACAGGTACAGATCAATCAGGGGAGCACAGGTACAGGTGAAGGTCAATCAGGGAAGCATAGAGTACAGATGGTCAATCAGGGAAGCACAGGGACCAGGACATGGATCTGGACCACAGAAAGCTGAAAAAAACAAATGGATCCACATCACGACTAAAGTCGTTTTTAATAATATGTTTTTAATAATGAATCACTAATTTATAATGATTTTAATAATGAATACTAATTATAATGATTTTAATAATGAATACTAATTATAATGTAATTATTAATTAATATAATAGGGCAACAGTAGCTCAGTTGGTAGAGCATTGGTCTTTGAGCCTGAAGGTCGTGGGTTCGAGCCCACCTCAAGACCTACTTCACGACTCCCACTGATGACTGCTGTCGTTGTGTCCTTGGGCAAGACACTTAACCCCACTTTGCCTGAAGCCCCCACTGAAAGATCTCAGCTCCTGTGGACTCAGCACCTGCAGGAGGATCAGTGAGAGGCTGGTGCTCTGACTGCCACCCCCGACCCAGAAATGGATTAAGGGGGAAGAAAATGGATGGATGGATACTAATTATAATGTTTTTTAATAATGAATACTAATTTATAATGATTTTAATAATGAATACTAATTATAATGATTTTAATAATGAATACTAATTTATAATGTTTTTAATAATGAATACTAATTATAATGTATTTTAATAATGAATACTAATTTATAATGTTTTTAATAATGAATACTAATTATAATGATTTTAATAATGAATACTAATTATAATGTTTTGTTTTATGTCAGAACATTGTGACTTTGCTGAAACCAGAGTCTGAGACAGAGTCCAAAGGAGACCTGTGTCTTTAAAACCAGGTGGAATTCTTTCTCGTTTTGTGGTTATTTAAAGTTAAAAGTGAGAATCTGCTGGTTTTAGAAACGTTGAAGTGAAAAGTGTTTGAGAAGTGGATAAACGCAGCAGACGTCGTTTAGTTTTAGGTAAAAGTGGAAGACGCTGATTTGAACAGAAGCTGGAGCCTTTTCCAATCATGTTTCTGATGTTAGCTTTAACAGCACCTGTTGCTAAGACGGTTGCTAAGGCAGAGGAGGTTCCTGATTGGTCAGTCCTTATAAGGCCTCCTTCAGTAAAAACACTTAAAACGCAAACCCGTGAAACAGTTTCTGAAACTGAATAATTATCGACTGACAGACGTAACTCTTCTTCCGTTCATCAGAAGAACTTCCACAGATGAGTCTGATCAGAACCATGAACCCTGAGCTCATGGTTCAGTCCGAGCTGCAGATTATTGATCTGTCGGAGAAACACAGGAGTCCAGAAGAAACACAAACAACACTAATACATCCAGAATTATATAAAGAAAATAATAATAATAACAGTCTCAGGTCCCAGCAGCAGAGGTGGGTCTGGGTCAGACCGGATCTCTGCTCTGGTCCAAAGTAAAATGCCTCATTAGCATTTAAATGCTAATGAGGATCAGTGAGGGACCAGGAGGAGCAGTGAGGACCAGGGAGGAGCAGTGAGGACCAGGAGGAGCCAGTGAGGACCAGGAGGAGCAGTGAGGACCAGGAGGAGCAGTGAGGACCAGGGGTAGCAGTAGGGACCAGGGGAGCAGTGAGGGTTAGGGTTAGGTCTGAGTGGAGTGTACAGAGTGTGTACAAGAGTGTTACAGAGAGTATTACAGAGGAGTTGTACCAGAGTGTATACAGAGTGCATGTACAGAGTGTGTACAGCAGCAGTATACACCATCCAGAGTGTATACAGAGTGTGTACAGAGTGTGTACAGAGTGTATACAGAGAGTGTACAGAGTGTGTACAGAGTGTGTACAGAGTGTATACAGAGAGTGTACAGAGTGTATACAGAGTGTGTACAGAGAGTGTACAGAGTGTATACAGAGAGTGTACAGAGTGTGTACAGTGTACAGAGTGTATACAGAGTGTACAGAGTACAGAGTGTACAGAGAGTGTACAGAGTGTGTACAGAGAGTGTACAGAGTGTGTACAGAGTGTGTACAGAGTGTGTACAGAGTGTATACAGAGTGTGTACAGAGAGTATACAGAGAGTGTACAGAGTGTGTACAGAGAGTATACAGAGTGTGTACAGAGTGTATACAGAGTGTGTGTACAGAGAGTGTACAGAGTGTATACAGAGTGTGTACAGAGTGTATACAGAGTGTGTACAGAGTGTGTACAGAGTGTGTACAGAGAGTGTACAGAGTGTGTACAGAGTGTATACCAGAGTGTATACAGAGTGTATACAGAGAGTGTACAGAGTGTGTACAGAGTGTATACAGAGTGTATACAGAGAGTGTACAGAGTGTATACAGAGAGTGTACAGAGTGTGTACAGAGTGTGTACAGAGTGTGTACAGAGAGTGTACAGAGTGTGTACAGAGTGTATACAGAGTGTATACAGAGTGTGTACAGAGTGTGTACAGAGTGTGTACAGAGTGTGTACAGAGAGTATACAGAGAGTATACAGAGTGTGTACAGAGAGTATACAGAGTGTGTACAGAGAGTATACAGAGTGTGTACAGAGAGTGTACAGAGTGTGTACAGAGAGTGTACAGAGTGTGTACAGAGTGTGTACAGAGAGTATACAGAGTGTATACAGAGTGTATACAGAGTACAAGGAGAGTACACACAGAGTACAGAGAGAGTACACAGAGTACACACAGAGTACAGAGAGAGTACACACAGAGTACACACAGCGAGTACAGGGAGAGTACACACAGAGTACACACAGAGTACTCACAGAGTACAGGGAGAGTACACACAGAGTACACACAGAGTACTCACAGGAGTACAGGGAGAGTACACACAGAGTACACACAGAGTACACACAGAGTACAGAGAGAGTACACACAGAGTACAGGGAGAGTACACACAGAGTACAACACAGAGTACTCACAGAGTACAGAGAGAGTACACACAGAGTACAGAGAGAGTACACAGAGTACACACAGAGTACAGAGAGAGTACACACAGAGTACACAGAGTACACACAGAGTACACAGAGTACACAGAGACAGCACTTCTTTAAAATCCACTTTATTGAAACCATATTTTCACAAACGTCACTGAATCAAACCAAAGCAATGACAAAAACACGTTTTTCTTCTTTAAATAATAAATCAAATAAGAATAAGTTTATGATTTTACAACATTTAAAACTGTTGTTGGTCTTTTCTTGGTTTTAGTCCTGGATTTCCTCCTTTATTATTTTAATAATATAATAATAAATAATAATACATTTGATTTAAAAGCGCTTTTCTAAAACACTCAAGGACTGTACAGGCCTCATAAACATTAAAAACAGGATCAACAGAATAAAAACAGTAAAGTACAGTGGTGTGTGTGTGTGTGTGTGTTAGGTGTGTGTGTTAGGTGTGTGTGTTAGGTGTGTGTGTTAGGTGTGTGTGTGTATGTGTGTGTGTGTGTTAGGTGTGTGTGTGTGTGTGTGTGTGTTAGGTGTGTGTGTGTGTGTATGTGTTAGGTGTGTGTGTTGTGTGTGTGTGTATGTGTTAGGTGTGTGTGTGTTAGGTGTGGTGTGTGTGTTAGGTGTGTGTGTGTGTGTGGTGTGTGTGTGTGTGTTAGGTGTGTGTGTGTGTGTGTGTGTATGTGTTAGGTGTGTGTGTGTGTGTTAGGTGTGTGGTGTGTGTTAGGGGTGTGTGTGTGTGTGTGTGTGTGTTAGGTGTGTGTGTGTTAGGTGTGTGTGTGTGTGTGTTAGGTGGTGTGTGTGTGTGTTAAGTCTGTATTTGAAGAGTGGGAGAGAGTGGATGGTACTGAGGTCAGGGGGGGAGAGAGAGTTCCAGAGCTGGGGGCAGAGGCTGAAGGCTCTGTGTCCCACAGTGATGAGTCTGGCTGGGGGGACGGAGAGTGTGAGGGTGGAGGAGGAGGCAGGAGTGGCAGGGTGGAGGAGGTCAGATAGGTGGAGGAGGAGCAGGAGTGGCAGGGTGGAGGAGGTCAGATAGGTGGAGGAGGAGCAGGAGTGACAGGGTGGAGGAGGTCAAATAGGTGGAGGAGGAGCAGGAGTGACAGGGTGGAGGAGGTCAGATAGGTGGAGGAGGAGCAGGAGTGGCAGGGGGTGGAGGAGGTCAGATAGGTGGAGGAGGAGCAGGAGTGACAGGGTGGAGGAGGTCAGATAGGTGGAGGAGGAGCAGGAGTGCAGGGTAAAAGGAGGTCAGATAGGTGGAGGAGGAGCAGGAGTGACAGGGTGGAGGAGGTCAGATAGGTGGAGGAGGAGCAGGAGTGACAGGGTGAGGAGGTCAGATAGGTGGAGGAGGAGCAGGAGTGGCAGGGTGGAGGAGGTCAGATAGGTGGAGGAGGAGCAGGAGTGACCAGGGTAAAGGAGGTCAGATAGGTGGAGGAGGAGCAGGAGTGACCGGGTGGTGGAGGAGGTCAGATAGGTGGAGGAGGAGCAGGAGTGACAGGGTGGAGGAGGTCAGATAGGTGGAGGAGGAGCAGGAGTGGCAGGGTGGAGGAGGTCAGATAGGTGGAGGAGGAGCAGAGTGGCAGGGTGGAGGAGGTCAGATAGGTGGAGGAGGAGCAGGAGTGGCAGGGTGGAGGAGGTCAGATAGGTGGAGGAAGGAGCAGGAGTGGCAGGGTGGAGGAGGAGCAGGAGTTGGCAGGGTGGAGGAGGTCAGATAGGTGGAGGAGGAGCAGGAGTGGCAGGGTCGAGGAGGTCAGATAGGTGGAGGAGGAGGAGCAGGAGTGGCAGGGTGGAGGTCAGATAGGTGGAGGGTGGAGGAGCAGGAGTGGCAGGGTGGAGGAGGAGGTCAGATAGGTGGAGGAGGAGCAGGAGTGGCAGGGTAAAGGAGGTCAGATAGGTGGAGGGAGGAGCAGGAGTGGCAGGGTGGAGGAGGTCAGATAGGTGGAGGAGGGAGGAGTGGCAGGGTGGAGGAGGTCAGATAGGTGGAGGAGGAGCAGGAGTGGCAGGGTGGTGACAGGGTGGAGGAGGTCAGATGGCAGGTGGAGGAGGTCAGCAGGAGGGGAGCAGGAGATGGCAGGGTGGAGGAGGTCAGATAGGTGGAGGAGGAGCAGGAGTGACAGGGTGGAGGAGGTCAGATAGGTGGAGGAGGAGCGGAGGAGTGACAGGGTGGAGGAGGTCAGATAGGTGGAGGAGGAGCAGGAGTGACAGGGTGGAGGAGGTCAGATAGGTGGAGGAGGAGCAGGCAGTGGCAGGGTGGAGGAGGTCAGATAGGTGGAGGAGGAGCAGGAGTGACAGGGTGGAGGAGGTCAGATAGGTGGAGGAGGAGCAGGTGTGGGGAAGTCAGGGTGGAGGAGGTCAGATAGGTGGAGGAGGAGCAGGAGGAGTGACAGGGTGGAGGAGGTCAGATAGGTGGAGGAGGAGCAGGAGTGGCCAGGGTGGAGGAGGAGCAGGAGTGGCAGGGTGGAGGAGGTCAGATTGAGGTGGAGGATGAGGAGCAGGAGTGGCAGGGTCGAGGAGGGTCAGGATAGGGTGGAGGAGGAGCAGGAGTGGCAGGGTGGAGGAGGTCAGATAGGTGGAGGAGGAGCAGGAGTGGCAGGGTGGAGGAGGTCAGATAGGTGGAGGAGGAGGGAGGAGTGACAGGGTGGAGGAGGTCAAATAGGTGGAGGAGGAGCAGGAGAGTGACAGGGTGGAGGAGGTCAAATAGGTGGAGGAGGAGCAGGAGTGACAGGGTGGAGGAGGTCAGATAGGTGGAGGAGGAGCAGGAGTGGCAGGGTGGAGGAGGTCAGATAGGTGGAGGAGGAGCAGGAGTGACAGGGTGGAGGAGGTCAGATAGGTGGAGGAGGAGCAGGAGTGGCAGGGTAAAGGAGGTCAGATAGGTGGAGGAGGAGCAGGAGTGACAGGGTGGAGGAGGTCAGATAGGTGGGGGAGGAGCAGGAGTGACAGGGTGGAGGAGGTCAGATAGGTGGAGGAGGAGCAGGAGTGGCAGGGTGGAGGAGGTCAGATAGGTGGAGGAGGAGCAGGAGTTGACAGGGTAAAGGAGGTCAGATAGGTGGAGGAGGAGCAGGAGTGACAGGGTGGAGGAGGTCAGATAGGTGGAGGAGGAGCAGGAGTGACAGGGTGGAGGAGGTCAGATAGGTGGAGGAGGAGCAGGAGTGGCAGGGTGGAGGAGGTCAGATAGGTGGAGGAGGAGCAGGAGTGGCAGGGTGGAGGAGGTCAGATAGGTGGAGGAGGAGCAGGAGTGGCAGGGTGGAGGAGGTCAGATAGGTGGAGGAGGAGCAGGAGTGGCAGGGTGGAGGGTAGGAGCAGGAGTGGCAGGGTTGGAGGAGGTCAGATAGGTGGAGGGGAGGAGCAGGAGTGGCAGGGTCGAGGAGGTCAGATAGGTGGAGGAGGAGCAGGAGTGGCAGGTGGAGGTCAGATAGGTGGAGGAGGAGCAGGAGTGGCAGGGTGGAGGAGGTCAGATAGGTGGAGGAGGAGCAGGAGTGGCAGGGTAAAAAGGAGGTCAGATAGGTGGAGGAGGAGCAGGAGTGGCAGGGTGGAGGAGGTCAGATAGGTGGAGGAGCAGGAGTGGCAGGGTGGAGGTCAGATAGGTGGAGGAGGAGCAGGAGTGACAGGGTGGAGGAGGTCAGATAGGTGGAGGAGGGAGCAGGAGTGGCAGGGTGGAGGAGGTCAGATAGGTGGAGGAGGAGCAGGAGTGACAGGGTGGAGGAGGTCAGATAGGTGGAGGAGGAGCAGGAGTGACAGGGTGGAGGAGGTCAGATAGGTGGAGGAGGAGCAGGAGTGACAGGGTGGAGGAGGTCAGATAGGTGGAGGAGGAGCAGGAGTGGCAGGGTGGAGGAGGTCAGATAGGTGGAGGAGGAGCAGGAGTGACAGGGTGGAGGAGGTCAGATAGGTGGAGGAGGAGCAGGAGTGACAGGGTGGAGGAGGTCAGATAGGTGGAGGAGGAGCAGGAGTGACAGGGTGGAGGAGGTCAGATAGGTGGAGGAGGAGCAGGAGTGGCAGGGTGGAGGGAGGAGCAGGAGTGGCAGGGTGGAGGAGGTCAGATAGGTGGAGGAGGAGCAGGAGTGGCAGGGTCGAGGAGGTCAGATAGGTGGAGGAGGCAGGAGCAGGAGGATGGCAGGGTGGAGAGTCAGATAGGTGGAGGAGGGAGCAGGAGTGGCAGGGTGGAGGAGGTCAGATAGGTGGAGGAGGAGGAGCAGGTAGTGGCAGGGTAAAGGAGGTCAGATAGGTGGAGGAGGAGCAGGAGTGGCAGGGTGGAGGAGGTCAGATAGGTGGAGGAGCAGGAGTGGCAGGGTGGAGGTCAGATAGGTGGAGGAGGAGCAGGAGTGACAGGGTGGAGGAGGTCAGATAGGTGGAGGAGGAGCAGGAGTGGCAGGGTGGAGGAGGTCAGATAGGTGGAGGGAGGAGCAGGAGTGACAGGGTGGAGGAGGGGTCAGATAGGTGGAGGAGGAGCAGGAGTGACAGGGTGGAGGAGGTCAGATAGGTGGAGGAGGAGCAGGTTGTGACGTGCTTTGAAAGTGGTGAGGAGTATTTTGAAGTTGATGCGTTTTTTAAACAGGAAGCCAGTGGAGGGTGATTGTGGTCAGCTGTGGGGGTGGGGTGATGTGGTCAGCTGTGGGGGTGGGGGTGTGATGTGGTCAGCTGTGGGGGTGGTGAGGGGTGATGTGGTCAGCTGTGGGGGTGGGGGTGATGTGGTCAGCTGTGGGGGTGGGGGTGATGTGGTCAGCTGTGGGGGTGGGGGTGATGTGGTCAGCTGTGGGGGTGGGGGTGTGATGTGGTCAGCTGTGGGGTGTGGGGGTGATGGGGTCAGCTGTGGGGGTGGGGGTGATGGGGTCAGCTGTGGGGGTGGGGGTGATGTGGTCAGCTGTGGGGGTGGGGGTGATGTGGTCAGCTGTGGGGTTGGGGGGTGATGGGGTCAGCTGTGGGTTGTCAGGAGAGAGGGTTTAGTGGAGAGGGAAGAGTGGGTAACAGTGGAAGGGAATGTTGTGACGGCCGAGGATGTGACCGAGTGGGAGAATATAGATGATGAAGAGGAGGGGCCCCAGGACAGAGCCTTGGGGCCCCAGGACAGAGCCTTGGGGCCCCAGGACAGAGCCTTGGGGCCCCAGGACAGAGCCTTGGGGCCCCAGGACAGAGCCTTGGGGCCCCAGGACAGTGCCTTGGGGCCCCAGGACAGAGCCTTGGGGCCCACCGGCGGAGACAGGAAAAGTGTGGGGTTTGAGATGGATGTATTGTGAGCGAGGAGAGATAGGAGGTGAACCAGGTGAGGGGGGTGTGGGTGAGGGTTAGGAGGTGAACCAGGCGGGGGGGGGTGAGGGGGGTTAGGAGGTGAACCAGGTGAGGGGGGTGTGGGGTGAGGGTCAGGAGGTGAACCAGGCGAGGGGGGTGTGGGTGAGGGTCAGGAGGTGAACCAGGCGAGGGGGGTGTGGGGTGAGGGTCAGGAGGTGAACCAGGTGAGGGGGGTGAGGGGGTGAGGGTCAGGAGGTGAACCAGGCGAGGGGGGTGTGGGGTGAGGGTCAGGAGGTGAACCAGGCGAGGGGGGTGTGGGGTGAGGGTCAGGAGGTGAACCAGGTGAGGGGTGTGGGTCAGGAGGTGAACCAGGTGAGGGGGGTGAGGGGTGAGGGTTAGGAGGTGAACCAGGCGAGGGGGGTGTGGGGTGAGGGTCAGGAGGTGAACCAGGTGAGGGGGGGCTGTGGGGTGAGGGTCAGGAGGTGAACCAGGTGAGGGGGGTGAGGGGTGAGGGTTAGGAGGTGAACCAGGCGGGGGGGGGGGGGGGGGGGGTGAGGGGTGAGGGTCAGGAGGTGAACCAGGTGAGGGGTGTGTGGGGGTGAGGGTCAGGAGGTGAACCAGGCAAGGGGGGTGTGGGGTGAGGGTCAGGAGGTGAACCAGGTGAGGGGGTGAGGGTCAGGAGGTGAACCAGGTGAGGGGTGTGTGGGGTGAGGGTCAGGAGGTGAACCAGGCGAGGGGGGGGTGTGGGGTGAGGGTTAGGAGGTGAACCAGGCGGGGGGGGGGGGGGGGGGGGGGGGTGAGGGGTGAGGGTCAGGAGGTGAACCAGGTGAGGGGTGTGTGGGGTGAGGGTTAGGAGGTGAACCAGGTGAGGGGGGTGTGGGGGTGTTCATAGATGTTGTTGGGGGTGAGGGTCAGGGGGGTGTGGGGGTGTTCATAGATGTTGTTGGGGGTGAGGGTCAGGGGGTGTGGGGGTGTTCATAGATGTTGTTGGGGGTGAGGGTCAGGGGGGTGTGGGTGAGGGTTAGGGGGGTGTGGGGGGAGTGTTCATAGATGAAGGTTTGAGATGAGACGGAGGTTGTTAAAGTTGGATCCAGGCCATGGGTTTTTTGAGAATGAGGGAGACTGAGGTTGTTGGGAGAGGGACAGTACCAGAAGTGAGAGATGAATGATATTAGTGATGAGGGGGGGAGACTGAGGGGAGGGGGGAGACTGAGGGGAGGGGGAGACTGAGGGGAGGGGGGAGACTGAGGGGAGGGAGACTGAGAGGAGGCAGGATTTTGACAGACCTGTAGGGAGAGGGTCGAGCTGAGAGGTAGAGGGTTGGACGGAGAGCAGGATGAACCCGGAGAATGTGGGTTTGGGGGATGAGTGGGGGGCCGGGGAGTCCACTCCAGAGACTGCAGCTCCAAGGGGGGTCAGGTGTTGGTGAATGTGGGTTTGGGGGATGAGTGGGGGGCTGGGGAGTCCACTCCAGAGACTGCAGCTCCATGGGGGGTCAGGTGTTGGTGAATGTGGGTTTGGGGGATGAGGGGGGGCTGGGGAGTCCACTCCAGAGACTGCAGCTCCATGGGGGGGTCAGGGTGTTGGTGAATGTGGGTTTGGGGGATGAGTGGGGGGCCGGGGAGTCCACTCCAGAGACTGCAGCTCCATGGGGGGTCAGGTGTCGGTGAATGTCAGAGATCTTGGAGGTGAAGAAGGACATGAGTGAGTTACAGAAGTCGGTGGATTGCATATGGTGGGGAGGGGGTGGGGGAGGGGGTCAGGGGGTTTGGTGATGTTGGTGAGGAGAGAGAAGAGAGTTTTGGAGTTGAGATGATTGGAGTGGATTATACTGGAGTAGGTGGATTTGGAGTGGATTAAACCGGAGTAGGTGGATTTGGAGTGGATTAAACCGGAGTAGGTGGATTTGGAGTGGATTAAACTGGAGTAGGTGGATTTGGAGTGGATTAAACCGGAGTAGGTGGATTTGGAGTGGATTAAACCGGAGTAGGTGGATTTGGAGTGGATTAAACTGGAGTAGGTGGATTTGGAGTGGATTAAACTGGAGTAGGTGGATTTGGAGTGGATTAAACCGGAGTCAGGTGGATTTGGAGTGGATTAAACCGGAGTAGGTGGATTTGGAGTGGATTAAACTGGAGTAGGTGGATTTGGAGTGGATAGTGGAGACTATGGTATGGAGTGACTATGGTATGGTGACTATGGTATGGTGACTATGGTATGGAGACTATGGTATGGAGACTATGGTATGGAGACTATGGTATGGACTATGGTATGGAGACTATGGTATGGTGACTATGGTATGGAGGACTATGGTATGGAGACTATGGTATGGTGACTATGGTATGGTGACTATGGTATGGTGACTATGGTATGGAGACTATGGTATGGTGACTATGGTATGGTGACTATGGTATGGTGACTATGGTATGGTGACTATGGTATGGAGACTATGGTATGGAGACTATGGTATGGAGACTATGGTATGGTGACTATGGTATGGTGACTATGGTATGGTGACTATGGTATGGGACTATGGTATGGAGACTATGGTATGGTGACTATGGTATGGAGACTATGGTATGGAGACTATGGTATGGTGACTATGGTATGGAGACTATGGTATGGAGACTATGGTATGGAGACTATGGTATGGGACTATGGTATGGTGACTATGGTATGGAGACTATGGTATGGTGACTATGGTATGGAGACTATGGTATGGAGACTATGGTATGGAGACTATGGTATGGGACTATGGTATGGAGACTATGGTATGGAGACTATGGTATGGAGACTATGGTATGGTGACTAGGTATGGTGACTATGGTATGGAGACTATGGTATGGTGACTATGGTATGGAGACTATGGTGGACTATGGTATGGAGACTATGGTATGGAGACTATGGTATGGAGACTATGGTATGGTGACTATGGTATGGAGACTATGGTATGGAGACTATGGTATGGAGACTATGGTATGGAGACTATGGTATGGTATGGTATGGAGACTATGGTATGGAGACTATGGTATGGAGACTATGGTATGGAGACTATGGTATGGAGACTATGGTATGGAGACTATGGTATGGAGACTATGGTATGGAGACTATGGTATGGTGACTATGGTATGGAGACTATGGTATGGAGGGACTATGGTATGGAGACTATGGTATGGAGACTATGGTATGGTGAGACTATGGTATGGAGACTATGGTATGGAGACTATGGTATGGAGACTATGGTATGGAGACTATGGTATGGTGACTATGGTAGGGACTATGGTATGGTGACTATGGTATGGAGACTATGGTATGGAGACTATGGTATGGAGACTATGGTATGGTGACTATGGTATGGAGACTATGGTATGGAGACTATGGTATGGTTGGACTATGGTATGGAGACTATGGTATGGTGACTATGGTATGGAGACTATGGTATGGTGACTATGGTATGGAGACTATGGTATGGAGACTATGGTATGGAGACTATGGTATGGTGACTATGGTATGGTGACTATGGTATGGTGACTATGGTATGGAGACTAGGTATGACTACTGGTATGGAGACTATGGTATGGTGACTATGGTATGGAGACTATGGTATGGTATGGAGACTATGGTATGGAGACTATGGTATGGAGACTATGGTATGGAGACTATGGTATGGTGACTATGGTATGGAGACTATGGTATGGAGACTATGGTATGGAGACTATGGTATGGAGACTATGGTATGGTGACTATGGTATGGTACTATGGTATGGAGACTATGGTATGGTGACTATGGTATGGAGACTATGGTATGGTGACTATGGTATGGAGACTATGGTATGGTGACTATGGTATGGAGACTATGGTATGGAGACTATGGTATGGAGACTATGGTATGGAGACTATGGTATGGAGACTATGGTATGGAGACTATGGTATGGAGACTATGGTATGGAGACTATGGTATGGTGACTATGGTATGGAGACTATGGTATGGAGACTATGGTATGGTAAGGAGACTATGGTATGGAGACTATGGTATGGTGACTATGGTATGGAGACTATGGTATGGAGACTATGGTATGGAGACTATGGTATGGTGACTATGGTATGGAGACTATGGTATGGTGACTATGGTATGGAATGGACTATGGTATGGTGAGGACTATGGTATGGAGACTATGGTATGGTGACTATGGTATGGAGACTATGGTATGGTGACTATGGTATGGAGACTATGGTATGGTATGGTATGAGACTATGGTATGGTGACTATGGTATGGAGACTATGGTATGGAGACTATGGTATGGAGACTATGGTATGGTGACTATGGTATGGAGACTATGGTATGGGACTATGGTATGGAGACTATGGTATGGAGACTATGGTATGGTGACTATGGTATGGTGACTATGGTATGGTACTATGGTATGGAGACTATGGTATGGAGACTATGGTATGGAGACTATGGTATGGAGACTATGGTATGGAGACTATGGTATGGAGACTATGGTATGGAGACTATGGTATGGAGACTATGGTATGGGACTATGGTATGGAGACTATGGTATGGTGACTATGGTATGGTGACTATGGTATGGAGACTATGGTATGGTGACTATGGTATGGGACTATGGTATGGAGACTATGGTATGGAGACTATGGTATGGTGACTATGGTATGGTG